AATTCCTATTTTAAAATTAGAGGACAAAAGTGAGAAGGATAAATGTCCTCGTGTAGAAGTAGTTGTAGGAAGTAGAAAAATATCTATGCTATTGGATACAGGTGCTGCTATATCGATTGTAAGTTATGAAAATTATTGTGAATATTGGCCAGAAGAGAATATAATTAAAAGAGATGAGAGTTAAACAGTTTGACGGATCGGAAATAAAGGTTTTAGAAAAAATTGAAGTACCGTTTGTGATAAATGGTATAGTTAATTATTTAAATTTGTGGATTGTTGATAAAAAAGTGGATACGATTATGTGGTGGGAATGGATTGATAAGATTGGTCCATTAAATAATTTTTGGGGTATCTTTTCAAATGAAATTAAACGAGATGAAATGGTTGAAGTTCAGAACGTTGAAATAGAAAATCGAGAGTTATGTCATGTAAAAAATGAAATCATTGGAAATGGTGTGATGGGTAATCGGAAAAGTGAGTTTGAAAAAGGAAATATGTCTCAAACGCGGATAATTCCAGTTAAAAAAAGAAAGGTAAGATATACTGAGTTGTCGCAAAGTGTTAATATTATGAAAAATGAGAAGCCTAGAGAGGTAAAAAAAAGAAATACCTGGTAGAAAATGTATTAATGAGCGAAATAATGATGAAATAAAAATAGTCACGAAAACAGAAGAAATAGAGGAGAAATTATTAATCAAGAAATGTATAAGAAACTGGATAATGAAAAGAAAGATATACCCGTGTTACAGAATTTCCGGGCGAAATTTGTAAGAAAAAAAGAGGAAAAAGAGATTAATGGAGGGGAAGGAAAGCAACAATGGTCGAGTTTGGAAAATTGGAGGCTTGCAGTGGCAGTTTTAATGAATAGTTATAGTGATATTTTTGAGAAGAAATTAGGATGTTTAGTGGATTATGAAGTTGATATCCATTTAAAGGAAGGTTTTGTACCGCAGTATTGTCCGGTGCGAAGAGTTCCATTTGAATGGGGGGTCCTATAAGTTACAGTGAATGGGCAACTCCGTTGGTTCCTGTTAAAAAGGCCAATGGAAAACTGAGGTTATGTGCAGATTTTAGGGTGACCTTGCATCCTTGGGTGGCAGAGGTGAAATATCCGTTACCGCGAATAGAAGAAATTTTGGCCAGTTTGAAAGGGGGAAAATATTTTTCCACGATTGATTTTTCGTGTGCATATTTGCAATTACCGATGGCAAAAACGACTAGGAAATTGTTGACGATTACGACATGTCGATTACCATTTGGGTTAAGTGTATCAGCCCCTATTTTTTAACGGACAATGGCTGCTGTTTTCCCAAGGTTTAGAGGGTGTTTTTTATTATATAAATGATGTTTTGGCTGTAGGAATAACGATGAAACAACATGATGATAGGCTAGAAGAAGTATTTATTAGAATTCGAAATAAAGGATTAAAGGCGAGTCGTGAAAAGAGTGCGCTGGGAGAAACTGAAGTGACGTATTTGGGTCATAGGATTAAAGGAATGGAGGTGAAACCGTTAGATAAGAATTTATTGAGTATTGCGAATTTGAATAGGCCGACCAGTAAAGTAGAGGTCCAGTCGTTTATGGGAATGGTAAATTATTACCATCGGTTTATATCGAGTTTTGCGGAAATAGCTGAGCCTTTATATGAATTATGAAGGAAAGGGGTACATTTTGAATGGAAAGATGAACAAGAGATTGCGTTCAGAACGTTAAAGGAGAGAATTGGGAAAGAGCCCATTCTAGTATGTTTTAGTAGTGATCTGGAAGTAGTTTTGGGTGTAGATGCGTGTAATAGAGGAGTAGGTGGGGCGATGTTGCATTTAATAGATGGAATGGAAAGACTAGTCTTATTTTTCTCGAGAGTGTTTCGAGAGGTAGAAAAATATTCAGTGATAAGAACAGGAGGCTTTAGCTGTGATTTTTGGATTAACGAAATGTCGCGAATACCTTATAGGTAGGAAGTTTGTTGTTTTTTTCAGATCATAAGCCGTTGATCCATTCAAGAAAGATAACAAAGAGTTGATGTTATCGCCTCGACTTCAGCTATGGTTATTGTTAGTAGGAAGTTTTGATTTGGATTTAAAATATCGAAGGGGAAAAGAGAACCAGTTACCTGATATTTTGTCAAGGTTAGGTGCGGGCGAAAGTTTGGATGAATCGGTGATTTTGAAAATTGATAATCGGGAAGAATGTCTTGTACGTACGGTAATGAGAAGTATAAAGGGTAGCCCAACGACATGAGAAGATATACAAAGGTTTACAAGGAAAGATAGAGAATTAGCGGTAGTTAAATTATGTCTAATGGGAAAGAGATCATGGAAAGATGATGATAAAGTTTTCAAAAATATTGAAACAGAATTAACTATAGTGGACGATTGTATTATAAGGGGACCCCGAGCTGTTATACCCCGGAAATTGAGGGAAAAAGTTTTGAATGTTATACATGCGGGTCAGCAAGGAGTTACTCGTATGAAACAATGGGGAAGAGAGTACGTATGGTGGCCGAAAATGAACGAGGATATTGATAAATTGGGAAAAGAATGTGAGATTTGTAATGCATGGTCTGACATGCCCCGTATGGATAAAAATAGTACATGGCCAAAGGTTGTAGAACCAGGAGAGAGGGTTCATGTTGATTTTTTCGCATATGAAGGAAAGAAGTATATATTAAGTGTAGATGCGTTCTCCAAATGGGTAGAATTTGAAGAAATTCATGGGTTGACGGCGAATATTGTGATTAAACATTTTAAAAAAGTATGGTCGAAGTTTGGTATTCCGAAAACTGTGGTATCGGATGGTGGACCAGCTTTTATCGGTGAAGAATTCAAGAGATTCTGTTAAAAAACGGGTGTATATCATGTGTTAACGCCACCATATCATCCCAGTTCCAATGGACAGGCGGAGCGGATGGTAGCGACGGTTAAAGGATGGTGGAAGAAAACCAAAAGTGGAAAAGGAGAAATGTGGGTGAAGCATTTGTATTATAATAATGCGATGGGTAATGATGGTTTGTCTCCGGCAGAAAAAATGATAGGCCGGAAGGTAAGAATGTTTTTGGATATGATAATACCCAGTAAAGCTGAGGTAGTTGTAGAGGATATTGATAGAAGGGAATTGGAATATACTGTAGGACAGTTAGTATGGATTAGATTATATGGAAGTACTAAAAAATGGGAGTAATAGAAAATTTGGGAAACTAGGGTAAAATTTGATGATAATAGTGAAGGTGTCAGGCACAGGGATCAGTTATGGAAGAGAGTGCAAAGAAATGGTTGAAAGAGGCAATTGTAAAAAAAGAAAATATTTAAGGATAGTTTTTGGTTAATAAAGATGTAGATTTCAGTGGTTTCAATGGTGTAAATAATCCTGTAATCAAGAAGCAACCACTACCCACGTACATCGTATGTCCAACGTAAAAGAGGAACGACACTATGTTTGGAGGACAACAAGTTATGACGGATACTACGAAAATCGCCTAAAAGAAAGGAGGATGGCAACGTTAGAATAGACCTTCTAAAAACAATACTGGGATGATTATCAAGATCTGATTGAGTGTATGAAGTGATAAAGAAATACAGACATAAAAGTATTGTTTAAACAAAAAAATATGGGAATCATTTATTGAATGCTTATACGCTGATTAATTTTTTTTGCATAGTGATATAAAAAATATATATAATTTTGCCCAGGATTTTTGTTAAGGGGGCGTTTTGTAGTATTATGTGTATTTAAATTATTATTACAATAATGTCAAGGATATATTATATTTTTATATGAAAAAGAAATGATGTCAAAGATATATGGTATTTTTATATAAAAAAGAAATGATGTTAAAGATATATTGAATTTTTATATGAAAAAGAAATGATGTTAAAGATATATTGTATTTTTATATGAAAAAGAAATAAGGTCAAAGATATATTTGTATTTTATTTTAAAAAAAATAATGTTTTTACATGTGTAATTTTTAATTAATGTTTTTTTTCCCTTCGAAAATTGTTTTTAAAAAGAAAAGATTTTTGTTATGGAATATAGATTATATAAATAAAATTGTAAGTAGTATATAGTGTAATTAACCGAATCTATAATAATTAACTAGTCTAATAAGTTATAAGAAGTCTACAAAAGTAATAAGACCCATTTTTAAAATATTTAAAGGCGGAATCACGTGGTCGCCTACGATATGTTATATATCAACCCCCACCCCAACAGAACTACCTAGTAAGCTCCAGAAAAGTGGTCCTCGTTGTATTCGAACCCAGATCTATGCGATTGATGTTGTAGCCATTGCCCTTCATATATGATAAATAAATGACCTGTTTATATATTTTACTAAAAATACATGAATAACAAAACCAGCCTGACGGGAAAAATCATAAACCCCCTTAAAGCCTTCTAAAAATAATTTCTCAATAGGACGAATTAATTTAAATATATCGATATCATCCTGCAGATATTTTTTTTTAAAAAGAGAAAAGATCAATTATATTTGAGTATTATTTTAATAATTAAACGGGCGCCGTGTGATTAAAAAAAGCAAGAAAATACACCCCCCCCTGTGCCATAACAATCAAGATAGCCATGCTAGAAACTTTTAGCAGCCAGCAAATTAACATAAATGGTGCTCGTAATGGAAGTTGTCGTCGATCTTTGAATAATAAATAAGAGTATTCTTTTTTCTGAAAGAAAAAATATAATAAAAATTGCCCTTGTTTTCAATAATTTTACTTACCCTGACTATTATTCTCACCAGGGTTTACCAAAAGTGGGCGGTTGCTATGCTATGCTATTATTTATTTATCATATATATCAAGTATTTATTCTGGATAATGTTTATAAATGATATGTGTGCAATAATAATATAGAATAGTAATAATAAACATAATTTTTTTGAATTTATCTTTTGATAGGTTGTAATCAATTAAAAATACTATGTTTAGCATATCAACAAATTTAAAAAAAAATTATTTAACAAATTATGTAAAAGTATAAAGAAAAAACAAATGAATTGCAATGGTTAATTTAACAAATATATATAGTAATATATGTGAATATTTTCTTAAATAACTTAATTTTAAGGTTTAATATAAAATGTGTTTTGATTGTTCTACAATAATAATAAAAGAGAATGGAAGGGAGGTTGTAGTAAAATTGTAAAAAACAGTCACAAAATAATAAATGAAATGCCTTATTAAAATTATCGAGGTCATTTTGTATGGTGGCGACTGACGGACGATATCACATATTAATATAAAAGCGAATATCATGAGATTCGTGAATAAAAACACGGTGTGGAACGCGTTTTCAATCGGTCACTAATGTTTGACCCTACGAGGTGGTTTAAAGGCGGTGTTAAAGGAAGAGGAGTTAATGTTAAAGCATGATTTGTTTTGCGCGACATTTTCTGCTGGTAGTTTTTTTAGGGGATTCAGATGTGATTGCAATTCACCGGATGTGTCGACATCCGCCAATTTAGGTTTCTTGTTAAAATTGGGGAGAATACGATTAGATTTGTAAAAATCTTCCCCTATATCGTCTTGAAAACTAAAAAAGCTAGATTTTTCGTTATTGCTATCGGTACGGGGCAATCTCGATATATTAGAGGTTGATACTGGACCCCCGAATTTTCTTTTACTATTGTGGTTCAAATTGTTGAAAGGAGTCGAAACGTCGGTAGGTAAAAAATGCTTAAGCTTTTAAAAATATATATTCGTATGAGATTACAATTTTAAAAAAAAACTATAATATTTTATAGGTATTCGATATTCAATCGAATAGTAAATTATTTTTTGTTTGAATAAGGATTATTCAACTCAAATATCCCAAATATTTGAAAAATAATTCGAATCAAATTATAATGGAATAAATATTAATGTTTTTAAATATAATTATATAGATTTGACATTTGTATAGCTTTTAATCTGACAGGTGATGTGATTAACAAGGTATATCAACTACATGTCTTTTTTCAGTTGGAACCAATCTGCTGTCAAAAAATCGCATGTCTTATGAAGAAGAACTTAATTTTAATTTGGCTTGGCATTATAAACTAAAATTAATACGAATTTATCGTTATAATAATAATTTTTTTTGGTTAAAATTAGATGTGAAAAAAAAATTCTCATATTTTAGGCATATATATTTTTTAAAAAAAAATTATTCGAATCGAATACATATAGTAAATTTTTCATTCGCACGAATATGTAAACAAATGCGGATAATTAATTATTCGTTTTCGAATCGTTTTAGAATAGTTGAAAAAAAACTTACCTCATAAAATTTCAAATCGGCCATATTGCTCTTCATATTTGGAGAGCTGTATATTTTTCTGGTTGTTAAATATTCGGATAAAATTTCCGTCGCACATTTCAGGAATTTTCTTTCACACCAAAAATTCTCCTAAATTAAAATTATGAGAGTATTAATTTAAAAAAAAAATTAATTAATGTTGGATTTTAATTAAATTAATAAGGGAACCCGAGGTTAGAAGTTTGAATCCGAATAAAATTTATTAACCAGAACCAGAGTTACCATTTTAAAATAGGAACACATTTTTAATCCAGGTTCTAAACAGTGATATATTTAAGGTACAAAAAATATTTAAAATTATTCGTTTGAGGTAACTCAATATTTTTCAGGGGGTTCTCAAGTTTTAACCTCTATGCGTCCTCTTCCGACGTGAATGCCTGAACTAACCCTCCTCCCTTCCACAGGGATTTCAATGAAGCAATTGATTCGTATCCTACAGAATGTGTATTTAGTTATGTTAAAAAGGTGGATAACGCCTATTCTTAGAACGGCGAAATCTAGATTTTGACCAAAAAATATAACCAATCAGACTAGATATTTTGCCAAAAGAGAACCAAACCTTTCTGCCACCTTATATACGCGTGAGATTTAGGTAATAATATTTTTTAAACTGTTTTTAAAAAAGAAAAAAAATAGTTTCAGCCATAATGAGTTATTTAGTTATATAAGAAGGTACCTTACCTATTTAAAAAAATTATTATTTTACTTTCTAAATAAAAATCTAAATAACTAAAAAGAGGGCTGAGTTAATTAAATCCAATTTGATTAATCGCGATTTTCAAATAATATCAGAGATTTAAATACAATTTTATTTACTAAATTTGATCAAAATACTTATATAGTGACAGATTAAAAAAATTTGAAAGAAAACTAATTCTAAACACCTTAAATGTACTCCAAATATTGAAAATACTCATTCTATTGAAGCGGATGATTATGTAAATAATTTTTATACTATAATTTTATCCTGTTCACCATGATTCATTTTTTTTTAAATCGAATAATTATTTCATCTGAAAACATCATTTTTATTAAACGGGTCAGATTAGTGTTGTGACGGCTCATTTTGAGCCGATTTTTTAAAACGGCTAACTCAATAGCAAGAAAATTATGCCTAAGCCTCGAGATTTCGATAATATATGTCTAACTCTTTGTTCCTTCTATGAGCAAAATCTTCAGGCTTGCGTAATATTTTTCTGGATGGAATATTGAGTTAGCCGTTTTTAAAAATCGGCAAAACGAGCAGTTTAACAACACTAGGTCAGATGTAGTTTAATATTTTACCAAGATAAATAAGAGATTGGTGTGAAGGTATAGCCACGTTTTGTTGTCACTTTGGTGTCATTGGCTGTTAAATTTGAAATATATCTTGGGTTTAGAAGAGTATAAAAAATGTGCCAGGGAAAGTATTATAATTAGTGCTGTAAACATTTCTAAAAATATCGAACGCGTTCACGTTCAAGTTCATTTTCAAAAAAAAGTAACGCGTTCATGTTCATAAAATCTTTCAAAATTTTATGATAAATTTTTTTTAAATTTAATTTAATATAAATAAACTTATATTTTTAAATACAATATATTTTAGCCATGTTAAAAAATAATATAGTTTTATTTTGATAATATAATTATAAATAAAATATAATAATATAATATAGCGAATAAAAAGATATTTTTATTTATAAAAAATTTTTATTATTAAATTTTAATAACAATTGTTTTCAAAATATTTATCTGATAGACAGGAACACTTGGCAGTTAATATGACATTAGCCTAAAAACACGCTCTACAGGGGCAGATGAGGGGATTGCGGTATTATACTTAATAAACAGCTCTTTTAACGTGGAGAATTAATTAGAAACATTTATTGTTTTGTTATTTGCAAATCCATTCTCCTCTCGACAAAAAAAAGGATATCTCGAAATTAACAGTTCTCTAGGGTTTTCAAAGCATTTTTTTTCAATAACGCTATAAGTTTATTTTTAATATGTTCGTTCTGTGGAAGTTTTATTCATGGCCATTGAAGTTTGAATGCTGGATGTATAATTGCAGAAAGAACATATTGATCCTTATATATATGTTCAAATCTTTAAAAAAATAAAATATATGTAATAATTGAGAGTGATAGGTTTAATACCTTTTATTAATCCCATTTAATACGGCGTCTATCAATGGTTGACCATATTTAAGGCCACTAATTTTTTTAATTTTAAAATAATTATCGCTATTGTTGGGGTCAAATATCCCAAATTCTTTATTTCTTCAAATTTAATGATTTAACTTAGTTATATCATATAAAATCAAAAAATTAATATTAAAATCAAATGTCGTTTTAAATTGGAACCTGAAGATTTTGACAATAATACTTTTTGGCCACATTTTACACTTGGTAAGCATTTATTAGTTCCTTCAATATAGGATGTTAATGTAAAACATTTATCATATTTGGCCATAGTAATGATGATTCATCTGATTTTGGATTTTTAGAATCAGATGATGAGGATTAAATAATAATATCCATGCTTATGCTAATCTATTAAATTAAAATATAAACAATATGCTTATTTTTTGCATAATATTTTGGAATAAAAAAATGATTTAAAGTCAGAAAAAAATGGTTAAATAAAACTTTTTATAATAAATTTTAAAACTAACCTCAAATAGAGAGAAGGAGGGCTCTAAAAATATTTGATTCTGGAAACAATTGTCATAAAACTCATAATCAAGATTTTAATAAATTAAATAATTATTGAATGAACATATTACTTTAGCATTTTAAATTGGATTAATGTATCAGGGCATCCAATTGTAACAGTATCTTAAATTTTTTAATAAAACAGCATTATTTTATTAGCCAAAAAAATTTCAAATTTGGTTTAACGGTTTTATTTGAATTTAGGGATTTTCACAATACTATTAGTTTTAGAAAATATTGAATGATCCTCTTCCCGACTAAGGCCTCATTAATAGTTAACATGGTTTGTTCAAGCGGTGCGGTATTTAACCCTATCAAAGTCACAGCTGATTCTTCACAGTGATAATAATTTTTGAAATATACGTCGCAAGATATGTTTCAAATTTTATCATAGTTGTTTTCATCGCTTCGCTCTTATATTTATAAGTTATTGCTTGGCTTGATTTTATAAATAAGACATCGTTAACTAACGCATCACTAGACAAAACTGGCGTAATTGATATCGAAGTTAGATTTGTTAAAAAAACAATATGCTCGTACCAACGAATTTTTGATCTATAGTCGGCTTTTTGTTTGACAAAATATCAAATTAGCTTATGGTAACAATATATTTTTTTTCAACATTCCTGCCAGATCTAAAGATATTAATTGCAAGATATGTTTCAAATTTTATCATAGTTGTTTTCATCGCTTCGCTCTTATATTTATAAATTATTGCTTGGCTTGATTTTATAAATAACACATTGTTAACTAACGCATCACTAGACAAAACTGGCGTAATTGATATCGAAGTTAGATTTGTTAAAAAATTTTTGATCTATAGTTGGCTTTTTGTTAGACAAAATATCAAATTAGCTTATGGTATCAATATATTTTTTTTCAACATTCCTGACCAGATCTAAAGATATTAATTGCAAGATATGTTTCAAATTTTATCATAGTTGTTTTCATCGCTTCGCTCTTATATTTATAAATTATTGCTTGGCTTGATTTTATAAATAACACATTGTTAACTAACGCATCACTAGACAAAACTGGCGTAATTGATATCGAAGTTAGATTTGTTAAAAAAACAATATGCACGTACCATAGAGAAGTTAGATTTGTTAAAAAAACAATATGCACGTACCATAGAATTTTTGATCTATAGTCGGCTTTTTGTTTGACAAAATATCAAATTAGCTTATGGTATCAATATATTTTTTTTCAACATTCCTGACCAGATCTAAAGATATTAATTGCAAGATATGTTTCAAATTTTATCATAGTTGTTTTCATCGCTTCGCTCTTATATTTATAAATTATTGCTTGGCTTGATTTTATAAATAACACATTGTTAACTAACGCATCACTAGACAAAACTGGCGTAATTGATATCGAAGTTAGATTTGTTAAAAAAAACAATATGCACGTACCATCGAATTTTTGATCTATAGTCGGCTTTTTGTTTGACAAAATATCAAATTAGCTTATGGTATATATATTTTTTTTCAACATTTCTGACCAGATCTGAAGATATTAATTGCAAGTTAATATTATGCTGAGGTAAAAAAAATTGTAATATTTTTCAATCTAAATCATTACTCATAAAATATTAGTATTTGATTAAAATTGTGATTTAAATTTTAAAAAATTAATTTATTTCAATCTAAATCATTACTCATAAAATATTAGTATTTGATTAAAATTGTGATTTAAATTTTAAAAAATTAATTTATTTTGTTTTTTTTTAAATAAATCATGGAGTTTTGTTTTTTTGAATTTTACCAATCCTAACTAAAAAACATATGGCTGCCGCAATTTCAAATTTTTTTTTTATATATAAGTAAATTATAATATATTAAATTTAAATAAATTCGGATAATAAAACACATGGAGCTTTCTGGTTCAGAAGCTAAAAAATTACCTAATTTTTATTTTTAGCCTAATTATTTTTTTAACTTATCTGAACTAGGTCATTTTTCGTTTTTCACGTTGATATCTCAGGAGATTAGTATTACGAGGAATTTTGGATTCGCTGCCTTTTAATGATGTTCTATCAGTAAAATATATTCTTTTTATCAAAATTAAAAGGTCGAGCTGTAAAGTTTATCGATTTGATATGAATTATTACTCAGTACTGGATGCAACCCTAAAAATAATTCAAACTCAAAAATTTTATTTTTTCAGCTCCACTTCTCAATAGTACTCATAAATTACATTTCAGAGTGCAAATCAATAGTCATCGATGAAAACAATGAAAACAAAATACCTGAATCCATTTTTCGAATTTGCCCATCTCACATTTCATGTGATTTGCGTTGGGGCATTTGTTGAACTGGCAGAAATTGTTGACGCTTGTGAAGGTAATCATGGAATCAGTGAATTGCGCGCTACTGCACAATTTTTGCCGCTTCTGAGTGGACGAACAGACTAGACTAGACGAGTACATGAGGTAAAGATTGGAGCAAGCCACGGTGTTGCCTATGCGCAACATATCGGATAAACCCATGTCCTATATCATTATTATTTGTAATTTTGAAAATAGTGTTATTAAACAAGGAATCAAAGATAAATACATTTTCTTGGTAGAGATGTCCGGATTGTAAGTTCTCCTGGAAAAAAATTTACAATTTTTTTTCGAATTTTATGTGATTTGAAAGTCCTTCCGAAAAATTAAATTAAAAGATCATGTATATTTTTTTAAAATTCTTCTATACTATTTTTACGATTTTTAGATAATCGAAAATTTCACCTTTCCATATACCAGCCATCTCCTTAAGTATGTATTTTATCTATCTTTTTTAAAAAATATATTATTTATTTCATTTTCAAATTACAATCAAAAAAAATTGAAAACTTTCTAAAAGGTGATAAAGATGATCAAAAAATTAATCTAAAGTTAAGTATTATGTTAATATTCGCTTTGAGTTTAAATGACAATCTTCAAACAAGGCAAGAGGGATATGAACTTTTATACATAATAACCAGGCAAATTTTATGTGTTCAGTTTAACTAAGTATTCTATTCTTCTGGGTCAGTTACCAATTCAACAAAACGAAATCGATTTTATGGATAAGGTAACCTGAAAATTATTTTAAAAAAATAATCGCGAATCATCTGATAGGGCTTTAAATGAATTGTTTATTCAAGGAACATGCCAATTAGAGAGCGGAAAAATGCAAATATTGTAAGTGGGGTAAATCATCCAGCTTTCTCTGATGAGAAATATTCGATATTTTTTTTTGTATATATTTACAAAGCTAGATTATATCATTCGAATTGCGTTTTTGTAAAAATATAATAAACCATGGATATTAATTAATTAAATTAAGCATTATATATTTAAGATGTCACAGGGTAAGTTTTATAAAATGATAATAAAATTATCTGATTGTCATAATATACACAATTTCCAGGAATAAATAAACATTTGGTAAAAAAAATAAATTTTCTACAATAAAATTAATATTATAAAAATGCTATATTTTTGATAATAGCAATTTTAAAAAAAAACCTAAGTAATCGTGTGATTCCTTTGAATTTTACCACGTTTAATACAAAATATTTTTGACCCTTCCCTGAAATCCCTGCGTGCTTAACCATTATTAACCCGTTCGATAATTAGATATGGTAATACATTCTTGCCAACTATCTTATCACGTGATATTCAGGGTGTTTTTGATAGATTAGGTTTTTTTTTAAATTGCCAGTTCAGCTCCCTTGACAAATCTTAGATGATATTACATAAAAAAGTAAATTTGGATTAGGATTTTTATTTTAAAACTTATAAAAATAGTGAACTTTGAATGAAGCCCATTTGTCGAGGAATTTGAGCGACACAAAATGCATGTCCCTACAAACCAAGTACACAAAAGTCAGATGGGAACCGTTGATTAAAAAATCCGATTGGTTGATGTGAACCACCATGCCTATCACGTCAATCTCTAGGTGATATCTGTCGAGTTTTTGATTAACGTTTATTTTGGTCGATGTGGGATCGTAAACCTTTTAAAATTCGAGAAAATACAAAAACACTTTCTAAATTGATAAAACAAATACTTTATAATATTGATAACACAAAAAATTTTCTATAATATTGTAGGCATTACGATATGATCAAATAATATCGTTATTAAATTACTACCAATTATAATAGGCCGAACTATTTTATATAAACTATAGCTCTTCCTAATTTCCAATTTTTTTCAAAATTCTTTAAAAATTACGAAATTTAGACTTTAAAAAAAAATCTGGAAATAAAAATCAGATAAGTGAATCTCATAAAATAACCGAGTTGGACAGTATATCGACTATCATTTCATCCTCCTCGCAATGGCCCGTGCTTTTGCGATCCCATTCGAAAACTGAACTAGCGTTCGCCGCGAGCTGAAAATTACCTACCATCGCAGTTTCGTGGACTGGTAAGGATCGGACAGTCAGGTTAAAAGCAGTCAGAGTTCTGATGGTCACGGCCGTCAACGCTTCCAATATACTAGAGTCGTAAATGGCGAGTAAGAAGGAGCGGGTCACGTGAGGGTTAGTACCAATGTCAACGCAAGAGATGTCCGTGACTCTAAACTTTTATTCATTTATTGACGAGTAGTTATATAGAATTGTGGTTTGAGCAATATGGCGGAAAAAAAGAAAATTATTAATATGAATACAATTTAGGTTGACGAAGAAGAATACAACTCTAATATTTATATATATTATTAAATTTATTATACGAAGTTTATTTGTTAAACATTTAAATCGAACTGTATCTCGCTAATTTTTAAAAATATTGGTCAAGTCCATGAGTGCGATAAACCGAACCGTTGTTATTTCCATTAGTTATAGCTCCAATTTCATAAATTTTAATCGCCTTATTTTTAAAAAAACTTCGTGCCCAATTAACGGGTTAGCACTAGAGTAATAAACTCTGCATCGTATTTTTTTAGGTCCAACCTGATCAGAGAAAAATTTTTAAATAATTTGTCTAACTGATCCGACCAATCAGATTTCAGTCAGATTAGACTCGGGTCGATCCTGTACAGGGCTCTAAAAGTAACTAAGCTCTGTAAGTAGGGCTCGGGCCAATGACTTAATATTACCTATGATGATTCATTGATTTAAATATTTATCAATATAAATCAGCTGGTGGCACGCTATTTTAGTTCGCCCATATAAACAATTTACTTAAGAATTTTACGAAAACTCTTCTTTTTTTAAAAAAAATCCGCTCAATAATAAAAAATTATAAGGGAAACCAAAAATGGCATGTCGTCAGCTGATTTGTACTCAATGACGCTTCAAAAAGACATTTTAATGAACAAATCTTCTTTTGGGTATGTTGTTATTTTTTATATTCGAAACAGCTTATTTATTTATTTTCATTAAATTCTCGCAAGTTTATGAAATTAAAAAAAATTGTTTTCATTTATTATTTTTTCAATTAAAATTTTGCCGAACCCGGACCCAAAATGAATAAAATTGGGAAGGGACTTGATTCAAAGAAAATTGAATTTGTAAAAATCTTAATGTTTTGATTCTGGTTTAAGCAATTAAATTTTAATTTCACTTTCGGCCATGCCCAAAATCTTTTTTAAAAAATTCTAAAAGTTTTAAAACTTTCTTAAATTTTGATTTTAACAAATTTTCTAATTATATTTTGCATTATATTATTTTTTTTGTAAAGAGGTGGACGAGCCCTGATTAATCAAGTTTTGCCTAAAATATATTACTTATTTTTAAAGTTCAATTTTTTTGTTCAAGAGAGCAAAACAAAATGTTGAAGATCACAAAATTGAGGATTTTTTGTGAATGAAAGATTTTTAATGCATAAAAATCACATTACAAAATTTTTTTATATAGAAATTTAAAATTTTAGGTAAAATTTGATCTAAAATTTTAGGTAAAATTTGATCTAAAATTTTGTTTGAGCATTCTCAAAAAAGTCTTCATAAATCAAATATCTTTGAAGATTTTATATTTTGAAAAGCTTATCAAACTATTGCTTGATTTTAATCTTTCATTATATAATATCAAATATTTTTTTTATACTTTCAACACACGAGTAATCTTGACTAGCTCAGGGTGAATAGAGGAAGAATCTAAAAAATTACGAAAAAATAATTTGAGGCGAATTATTTAACTAGGAGATAGGTTAATATTTGTCTTATTGAATTGTTTATTTCCTTTATTAGTAAAACCCATATCTTTTATTTCGGTATTAAATATATTTATATATATTCCTAGCCCTCCTTTCATCTATGATAGAATTTATTTATCACAAATGCCGATTAACCAATTAACCAGATAACGTATAATCCGTTAAATCCAGGAACCGGAAATTACAAAAGCGGAAGTATTTTAGGGGGGTTTTATTTAATCGCTTTAATAGCGAGCACTAGAATCAGAACCACAATTTTTTTTAATATTCAGAACCTTTGGTCAAGGTTTCAGACTTTGAATAGCAGAGCTTTAAACCTGAATTCAGGCTCAAGAATGTTAAAATCTATTTAGCGAAAATTTTGATGAAATAAAACTGGATCTAAAGTTTAAACAAATAAAAATGGGTCCGAGCCCGCCCGGATCTGAGAATACCCCGGTTCTGGGTTTTCCGTGAATAAGTCCCTATAGGCGGTCAGGAATTTCTATTTGGGAAGGGGGGGAGGGAATATAATTTTTTTGGAACATTTAAAATTAATTAGAACCAAACATATATTAAAAAATGACAAATTCGAACACAAATAATAAAATATTGCAAAATATAAATATAAAAAATTTCATAGCTCTCTAAAATATGATGATTTAAAAACTTAATCAAAATACCTTTCATAAATGAAAATTAATCATCTTAATTGAGCCAATTTTTCAATTATTTTGTAAATGAGAATTTAAATCTATATGTATATTGTCCATCGAATTGGATGTAATATCGTTCAACCACATATATGCATTTGGTTGATTCCGAAGGAAGATATGGCCTTAATTGAATATATCAGAGACCTGCAGAGGTATCATTTGCATGGCCCGGCCCGGATTTTTTTTTAAAAAAAATTTTAGGGCCTGGCCCGGGTTTAATAATTTTAGACCCGGTCCGTATTCGACCTTGTGTATACAAAAAGTCACCTAATTTTACCGTTTTTTCAGAGAGTATTATCATTTAATAAGCATATTACACATTTTATCTTTTTTATTTTAAACAGATATTTAGTATACAATTCTATAATATATTTGTGTAAATAATATTTTAAGAATATAATATATTGTATTTATGATAATTTTAATTTGTATTTAAAAAATGCATGGTAAAGCTAATATTTTGAGAATATATACTATATATTGTATTAAAAAAAATAAAACTAACTGATATTTATAAAAATGGAAGTAAATAATATTTTAAAAATATACTATATTATATATTGCATTTATAAAAATAAAACTAATATTTATAAAAGTGGAAATAAATAATATTTTGAGAATATAATATATTGTATTTACTATTTATAAAGTGAAAATAAATTTCTATTTAAAAAAATGCATGTATGTAAATAGTATTTTGAGAATATAATCTATTTGCACAATATAATATAATATAATTTATTTAATAATATAATATAAATTTAACAGAAAATAAATCATATTGTAAAAAAAAATGAATTGGATTTAAAAAAATTTCAGGACTCAGGGTAAAAATAACAAATGCAATAAATATTTGACAGTTTGTAAAGCAAAAAACCAGCATGAATGACGAACCTATATTTAAGAAAGATATAAAAAATCAAATTATCATGAAGAAAGAGAAGCATATTTACCTTTTTAGGAAGATTACTTCGTCTTTCTTCAAGAATTCTCCCAGTAGTGGAAAAATTCCGCTCACAGATTGCGCTTGATGGAGGAATTGCCAATATCCGTTTTGCCAAAATTGGCTTTGATGAGCCGCCCACCGCAAATTCTTTAACTTAAATGTTTCATCTATTTTTACATTTAAGTAATTATTAAATTCATCATCGGGTATTGACATATTATCAGAATTACCATCCCTCATTTGTAGTAAAACGATTGAGTTTGTTTAACAACAGTCATAATTCCACTGTTCGATGGTAATTCTTTAACTCTAAGCCTCTTATAATTTAATATAGTCTTTTACATGTTTTCCGTCATCTTGCAATCTGTCCCTGACAACATACGTAATTGCCTGAATTTGGGACAGATAAAAAGTGAGATAAAATTATACATGTAAAACAAATTTTTCAATTAAAAAATGCTTTATATTAAGTAGAATCAATTTTATCTTTCTTTTATCGCTTTGAGAGGTATTACAAACTTTACCAATTTAAAAAGAGTGCAAAAGTCCGACTGTTACTCAACAATAGCTTTTAAAAATTTCCAGGAATATTGACAAGATCCTCAAGAATCGAAAAGTCTATAATATAATACTTTTCCGATTCCTCATGTTCCTAAATAACTTTTATAATTTTTACATTTTGTGAATAAACACTATTGAGCATATTGTATTTAGAGTTCCAGCAACTTCTATACCTTGATAAAGGGCTTTTAAATGCCCCACTAATATTTTAAATTATCTATTGTTGATTTTACTAATGGGGCATTACTATCCAATTTATTGTTAAATGAATATGAATTTCATAAAACTGTGTATAATAAATGACAACAATTTAATCTTTCATTTAATTCCAATGCTTTTATCATATTTTACCTTGGTTTGTAACAAATATTATATTTCTAAAATCGTTTGTGTCAAAATTAAAATTGTGGAAATTCTTTAATAGTTCATCCATAACCTTTAATAGTCTTTGACACCTCTTTAAATTTAGTAGTAAATAGATTTCACTTCACTATCTTTCAATCATCTAATATATAGTGCATGTTAACTGTTATAAAAGAGTTCTTTTTACGGTCATCGCACCATATATCAGTGTAAGCAGCCATAAATCGATTTTTGAATATGGGCAATGTCAACCAAAATTTTTCGAATTTTATTACATTTTTCTTTAAGGTGGTGTGATACAGTGGTGGGATGTGAAATCAATGATTTGGCATCTATTTTACCATACTTTGCCCCAACATCGACTAGAGCCTGGCTGAACTCAATGAATTCATTACCGCTATCATTTCAAAGGGCCTAATATCTTTTGCGCAAAGAGTTAAGGAATGATCTATAAATTTTTATTTTAAATATTTTAGATTACATTTTAATGTGTTTTCTAGGTGTAAAAATATTTTATCAATTTTCATGGATTTACCATCACATTTATGTCTTCTTAAATGAGATGCCATGATTATAATTATAGGATAATAAATTTGAACAATTTATGCATTGCACATAGCCAATATTTTTTCTTATTTTCGTCATTAATGATATTAAATTTGGACCTAATATCTGATTTTAAACTATTTGGTTTAAATGTATATATTATCTTTAATTTAATTTATTTTATCATTGGTATTCATTCTTGGTGTGATATTTTAAGAATTGCACCTATGTAAATATTATAAAGAATAAATAATTTAAATATTATATTATGGTATATTTGATTTGCACCTAATATAAATTTTTACAATTATTACTTGTATATATATAATAATTTGAATATTTGCAAACATATAAATTTATTTATTCCACCATGACAGTAAAACTATAATTATATTATGTAATCGATGCGAGTGTTAGGATTATATTCATCATAAATATATATATAATTTATTATAACCATATCTAATTGACGAATATAATTATTCATAATGTATAAATAGTATATTACAATATATTCCTACATTACTATATTTCCCCTTCATTAATGGGAAAGTTTCCAAAATATTTCTTCATTTAATATATTTGGTAATTTCATTCGGACAAATATTCAACTTCTTTAACAGCTGATTTCAGAGCTTTGTTACAGATTTATATTTGCTCCTTACATTTTATTGACGCTGCCCAACTTGTTTGAATAATTGTACATAATGTAATATAAATTGGCAATTAGTAATTTTCTAAAATCATGCCTTAGCAAAATTATTATATATATTTATATATTAAGATCCAATCAAATTAATAATGAGAAAAATTCTTTTATTTTTACTTTTCAATATGAAATTCTAATATTTTAATATGAAAATCTATATTTTGATATAAAATTATAATTAAATCAATGCCTTGATGACAAATATATTTTTTAATAAATTGTAACCTAATTAGATTGATAAACATGCTTTAAATACATATTAGTTAACTAAATCAATATATTTATTCATCAATAACATTTTAAAGTATTTGATCGTATTTGACCAGATCAAATACTCCGGTCAATTGACCTACTTGCCAACCCTGCCTAGAGGCATCCACGACTTAAAATATCTTGCCCTGGTTCAGGCCCGACCTAAAATATCTTGCCCAAGTTCAAACCCGACCCCGGGTATATTTTAAAAAAATTTTCAGACCCGGCCCGGGTATTTAAAAAAAATTTTAGGTCAGGCCTGGATATATATTTTTTTAAATTTTTAGGCCCAGCCCTGGTATATTTTAAAAAACCAAAATAGGGCCTGGCCCGTGTACCCAGGCCGGGCTTATGGCTGGGTATGTAGGTCTCTGGTATAGTCAAGGTAGACATGCAAGGCATGCATCGACCCTGCTAATTTATCATCAGATTATGGCGTAGTTTAACTTATGCACCTTGGCTTTTAGATGTTAATTGAGACTTCACATGCTTCTCTTCATTTCCAAAAATGTAAATTCTGAACTGGTTATCATAGCAGAGAAAATAAATATATTCTAAATTAACAAATTATGTTTTTTTACCAATCGTTATCTCTTCCCTTGGACATATGTCAAGAAAAACTTTAATTTTATCAAAAATATAAGTGGCAAAATAAAAGCCTTTACATCAGAACACAGGAAATTTTATTTTTTAAAACAACAAATTCAAATTACAATTTTAAAATATAATCATCCGTATTTTGGGGGGAATTTGTAGCCCAATTCAGTTTTTATAGAATGAGTGTTTTTATATTTATTATATTATAGTTTATGATTGGAATATATTTATATATCATATATATATAAATCTAATCCTTAAAAAAAATTTACACTTAGCATCTTACAATATTTGTTTGTTCTACTAAATTTAGTTATTATTTCTAAATATTAATATGGATGAGAATTAATTAAATTTAAAATTAACATCTCATATTTTTTTTATTGTATTTAATGTTGATAACATATAAAAATACCTAACCATAATAATTATATTGATCATTTGTTAAAATCTATGATCAGGGTTAAAATTGATAAAAACACACTAATAAATTCTTGTCCAAAACTGATTAAAGAACCATTTACCTTATTGGATGATTTAGCTTTAAAAAAATTATTAACTCCTGATATAATAAACAGGTCTTGGTGATAATTTTTTTATAAGTTCTGAAAATATGAAGAATTATTTTAATAGAATTGCAAGCAAATGCCTTGTTAATGTAAAAAAAATAATTTCTAAAAAATTAGATATTGCAACAAGGTATGACAGAGCAATTTTAGGTGTCAATATTCAATTTATATCTGATGGAAAAATACAATTTAGATCCATATGCATGAGAAAACTTACAGAAAAGCATATTTCGGAAAATATCAAAACGGTAATTTTGGTGATATTTAAAACATACAATATTGATATTAGTGATCTGCATCGGGGCTAATTTTTCAAGCCCGGCCCAAAATTTTTTTTAAAAAGTTTTGCCAGCCCGGCCCGAACCCGAAATTTTTTTTTAAAAAAATTAGCGACCCAGCCCAGCCCGAATTTATTTAAATATAGAAATTAATCTTTATGATTACTCAAAATAAAAGACATATGTTATATGTCGTTTAGTTTCAATAAATAAAATCAAATATTTTTATTTTACATAAAAAATTCAATATAAACTTGATAAATTTAGATATATTTAAAAAAATTTCCAAGGTCCGACCCGACCCGGCCCGAATTTTCACACATGTTTGTGGTCAAGGTAATTACGCGAAATAAAAGATACGGATTAATAAATCCCCCCAGACAATTTAAAATTATTTCAACAAATTAAACCAAAAATTATTTTATATACGATACAAAAAAAAAGAAAGATAGCTTTAAATTGATGCTGCTCTGACTTTTTCCCATATCCTCGTGAGAAGGATTTGAGCCATACTCAACGTTTGATCGCCTGTCAAAAGTTCTTTCATTATAACACGCGCTGATACCCTCCTTCGTTTTTTCTATGTACTATAGATATTTTAAAAAAAATTATTATATTAATTAAAAAATTGGGAACTCAATATAAATGAAAATGTTTCATTTATTGCTCGTATTTTCGATTTCCTTTAGAAGCATCTTAAAAAATACTGCCAGAATTATTCAAAATAATGAAATATGGTAAAATTATCAAAAATAAAAATCAGGGCTAGGCTAAAAAAATAGTGGTTTACTAATTCGGGCTGGGATATGGGATAGATACCCCAGCAAGTCCCTAATATATAATATTAATCTTTATTTATTAGCTTTGTATCTATTTCTTTAAACATATAAATTATTCAGAATCCCCTTAAACAAGACGTTTCAAATATTATAGTCCTTATAAAATCAATTTTCATATTTTATCTATTTTAAAAATAATAATTAACAAACAAAAACCATGAGGAAAAAAAATAGAAACAAAGAAAACAATAAAAGTTAAAAATAAATATTATGCTTCCATGTAAAGAGAAATATGATTCAAAGTAAAGTAGACAAGTAAGCAAGAAAAGTTGTAAATAAGGAAATGAATGCAAAATATTGTTATATTTTTTTATCGATTTTAAATTATAGTAGTTTAGTAATAAATAAATAGTTAATGTTATTTTTATATTTTTTTTTATCGATTTTTAATTGTAGCTAGTTTAGTAACAAATGAATAGTATTGTTTTTGTTAAAAATTATTATTATTGTTATTTTTAGATCATTTGTTATCATTATAAAAAGAGAAAAAAAGAAATAAAGATCATTATTTTAGTTTCAAAAGAAAAAAATTTTTGCGTGTAAGAAGAAAGAAAAAAGTAAGGTCAAGAAAAAAAAAATATAAGTAAGAAAAATATATAATTATATATTTAGAGTTTATCAGTAAAAAAAGAAAAACAGAAACCTAACAAAACTTGTTAGTGTCTGGTCAAACTTGTTACTTTCTTTCTTGAGTGTATGTTAATTAGAATTTCAACCATATTGTATAATATAAGTAAAATATATTCTATTAATATTTATGCCAAACTATGATGGGATATTTCTTGAGTACTATGAGTTTAAGGCGAGGCGCATTTCCACCGAAAGGGTTTAGTGAGGTTAAGGATACTTGTATGGGTCTTTGGGAGGGAAAGTATCCCAGTTTAGTGAACCAACGACACCTTCTAACGCTGTTGTAAGAGAGGAAAAGCTTGGTGTTTTCATAAGCCTTATTTTAAAAAAAATAATAAAATAAGAACAGGCGATAATTGTGATAAAATCAAAATTCCTTTTTTATTAAAAATTCCCTACATATACTTTATAAAACATAGCATACTAAAAGGAATAAATTAAGTATCATAAAAAGTGTGTTAAGCAGAATTTATACTAGAAAGCGTTATAAATTTTGGTATTATCTCTTTATCATTAGGGTGCTATCGCGCTAACTATTAATATTGCCCTAAAATTAGGATTATTATTAAACATTGAATAAATACATATTTAAGGGAAACCTTAGCTTGTTGTTAAAAATAAATGGAATATATAAAATATTATTAATCTTTTAGAAATATGTTCTAACCAACCTCCAATGGGATGTCCGGCTCGCAACCGCTAATAAATCTTGCCTGAGATACGCACAACTTATCTCCTAGTTTAATCTTGCTATCCTTGACGAGATCCATCAAGGGCTTATCTATCAGGCATTTTATGGGGTACCACCCATCGCATAATTCTAAGCATTTCGCCTAATTAATATAGTTTTAAAAAAAATTACCTTTTTTTAGTTTGGCTAAAGTAATTTTTGGATAAAAAACATCTGTGCATGAACTATCAATCAGTATTTTTAAGTTCTATCGCCATTTTTATTAATATCTTAATAGAGAACTGTAATGTATTTTTAGTAGTAATAAAATATCGAAATCTTTTGTAATGTATTTTTAGTAGTCAAGAATTCTTTTATTTTTTTATTTAGTATCCTTGAAATATTGTGTCCTAAGTATTTGGCATTTTGTTTGAAAAATTTACATTTTTCTATTTTTAGCTTGATTTCATTTTCATCTAGACATTTTAGTACCTTTTTTAAATTTGTTTCGTGTTTTTCTCTATTTTTCCCGGTTATTATAAACAAGCTACTCCTTAAAAACCTTTTAATAAATTCTCGATGGCTCGTTGAAATATTGCTGGAGAAGACGATATACCAAAAGATAATTTTGTATATTTAAATAATCCTCTATGCGTATTGATTACAAGCTTCAATTTGAAAATAGGCATCTGAGAGATTCAATATTGAAAATTCCTCTCCTTTTCCCAAATTGGCTAATAAATCTTGGATTCTTGGTATTGAATATGAATCAATATTAATATTTTGATTTATAGTTCTTTTAAAATCCCAGCAAATTCTTAATGCTTTATCTTTCTTTTGAACAATTACTATGGGTGATGCATAAAGTAAATGATTAATTTTCTCTATTACTCCTATTTTTAGCAATCTGTCTAAATCTTCTTCAACTTTATCTTTTAATGCGTATGGTACGGGACGTGATTTACAGAAAATTGGTTTCTCATTTTTCATATATATTTGTGCCTTAAAATCTTTCAAGCAGCCTAATTCTTTGGTAAATAATTGAGGAAATTCATTTTGTATATTAATATTATTTATTTGTATGGTCCTTTCAGGTAATTCAGTCATTTTGGGAAATTTAGTTATCCAATTTCTTCCAATTAGATTTTTGGTATATCTTTTTGTAATTATGAGAGGTAGTTCTAATGTTCACCCTTTATATTGTACTTTTATTACAGTCTGACCTAATAGTGGTATATTGGTTCCTGTATAGCTTTTAAGTTTTAGCATGCAATTTGTTAATTCAGGACGATTAAGTTTATTTTTCCAATCTTCGTTAATTATGCTTACCCCAGCTCCAGTATCTAATTTCATTCTGATATAGCTGTTGTTTATTAGGGGAATTATTGTCCAATAAAAATAATATTATTTGGGTACCCAAAATTCTGGATTATATTCGTTTGTTTAATTATTAATAAAATTCACTATTTCTTTTCTACAGACTCGAGCAATGTGCCCAATTTTGTTGCATTTATAACAAGTGGCATTCTTGAAAAGACAATTTACCCTTCTGTGGTTTCCGCCGCAGGAGTGGCATAAATTTGGTTTTTTGTAGCTCGCATTATAATTATTATATGATTTTGATTGTTTATCATTATTAACTTTTTTAATTTTATTTATATTATCATTATGTTCCTCTTCTAAATAATCGATTTTAGTTTCATCATTTTGTATTAATTTTGTATTTTTATTGCTGTTTCTACTGCAGTAGCTATCTGAATAGCTTTATTTATGTCTTTATCGTTTTCGGATAGTGATCTTTGTAAAATTTTTGGATTTTTTATTCCGAATATAAGTTTATCTCTTAATGCAGTATTTAAATATTCCCCAAAATCACAAGTAGTTGCTAATTTTAGTAGATTTTGTATATAGTCTATTAGTTTTTTATTTTGATGATTATATTAATAAAAATTATATCTCTCTACTATTATAATAGGTTTTGGATGAAGATGTTTGATTAAAATATTATGTATTTCTAATACCTCTTTGTTTCCCGAACTATCAGGTGCACATAAATTTATCAGTATTTTGTAAGTATCACACCCTATTGTTGCTAATAACAGAGATTTATCTTGTGATGATGTTAAACTTGGTTGTGTTTTTAAATTCTTGAAATAAGTTATACCAATTTTTGTAACACAGGTTTGAATCCGTTAGACTTTTTATAGACTGCGCCATTTTTGTAATGTATTTTTAGTAGTAATAAAATATCGAAATCTTTTGTTATGTATTTTTAGTATTCATAGAATTCTTTCATTTTTTTATTTAGTATCCAAAACAATGATCATCATATTATTCAAAGTAATATCAAATTATATAATAATAAAAAATAAACATTTTACAAAAAATAACAAAAACAACATACATATCAAGAACCATCTCATAACGGTTCAAAAAATTTTGGCAAAAAAAATTATCCCTGACACAAAATTCTGGGATATCGATTTCCATATATATTCTAATACATTCTTTGAATAATTCGTTGTTCTATGTCAACTTTCCAAGCTCTCGTTTTAGTGCACCACCTGTTGAGATTATTATAAGTCGTCAATCAAACAAATTAATATTATTATATGATCATTAAAGAGTTTTTGAAAATTTCGTGGAATGACAAGAACCTCCATCATGCTAGAAGGTTAAAATTGCTTATGTCTAATAAATGAATTAATAAGTCAACATCAGTACTTCTTTGAGGATATCCAAATGTTAACAGCGTCTATTACATTATTTATAAAAAAAATACGTCCTAGCTCCATTATAATCTCTGGAAATCTAACGGTTCTTTGCAAGCAATTGGATGGAAGCTCTCTGCTTTAATATCCTATTTAGTGTTAATCCAAAATTTATATCAAATTTTGATTCAATATTAACTATTGTGTACTACCAATACCATTACTCTTTCCTGTCTTGCAATATTGTCATAAATAATTTCTTCACAGTCTCTATAAAATAGTATGATGCAAAATAATATTTAAATGATTTTTTATCTACCTTTATAGAAAAAAAATTAATTTTAATCGGAATTGATACGTTGCTATGAATTGATAAGCATTCAGTCCTCGGGCCGACTCCACTTGACTTTAGTTTGTTCTGAATTTATTCAGAATCAGCCTGGACTGATATCCTTAAAATAGGCTAAAAGGATTACTTATTCCTATTTTTTAAATCTAATGATTACTATTAAGAACAACTGTTAAAAATATAAAGGAAAAAGAAGTGTTAGGACAAAGACTAAACAATTATTTATTTTATTATTTATGAATTTTGAAAATTAACGTAAACTAAAAATTGAGGGTGGGCGAATATCGATGAAGTGGAGTAGTATATAAGGTAAGATATATAATCATTTTCTTTGCCCGGCCTGTTGAATCTTTTTTTATTCAGACCCGGACCAGGGGATTAAGGGTAGGTCGGGTTTTATAGATCTCAAGTTTGGATGCAATAATTTGAATTATAATCAATAAATAAAAAAATAAAATGCCATTTTGGTATAAACTTAAAATAGAAATAAAATTAGGTAATTTTCCAAAACGAAAGAGGAATGAAACTCCGTTTATTTTCGTGTCAGAAACGGAAGCGGAATAAATAAAAATAGGTAGACAAAAAAATGTCCTTTTTTCGAGTCCATGATTTTTAATAAATCGAGTTATGAAGAAGAAAAAATCAGACTTCGTTGGCATCCTCGAAGATGGCCGAAACAAAAAGGATCATTGTTTTGCCGGGAACGTCGTCGTGTTCGGTAATTTTTTTAATGCACGACCTGTGGCAACGATCGATTTCTCTGTCGTATCTAATTAAGTGAAAAAAATTTTTTTTTTTTAAATTTAAATCATTATGCTATATCATTAAAAAAACATCACATACTAGAGGTGCGCAGAGTGTGGGTTTTATTTCAGCCGAGGAATGCAAGGGGGCCTAAAAACATTTTAACAATGGGAGCGCGAGTTAGTGTTGTTAGATGGCTCCATTTGAGCCCATTTTTAAAAACGGCTAACTCATATTTAAGCCAGAAAAATATTATCTAAGCCTGGATAGTTTGCTAATAGATGTCCAAACGCCGTCTATCAGCAAAATCTTTAGGCTTGCGGCGCGAGCGAAAAATATTTTCAAAGTAGCGAGGAGGTTAGTTTTTAAATATTTTATCTGTACAGAATAAGTAGGGTGGGCCTATATTTATTATGAACTAATTCTTTATTTCATAATATTGCATATTTTATATGTTTAAGTAAAAAAAAAATGTATTAATAATATATGGAGACAAACTGTAGAATCATTTTATAAAGTTTAAAACAAATTACAACCCGAATATTTCATGGTGCAGTCTTATTTTAACGGGGAGAAATATAATGATAAAAAATATTTTTAATATATATCTTTCCCAACAGGAGTATATTTTTTACCGTTAATAAAATTGAAGATATAAAGGCTGTCCCGCTATCAAACATTGTAAAGTTTACTCCCAACTATTTACCTTATGTTAGAAGAGACATAGTATGATGAGTTGATCAAACTATTAAAATTATTACTTTGCCAAGAAAACAAACTACAATTTAAAACGTATAAATCATCACAGGAGAAAGGCGAATCCATAACTGAATTATATAAATGCAGGCTATGCAGAGGGGGGAAGAAATAAACAATATATGTGTAATATATTTTTCTTATTCCTTTATTTTCAAATTCATCATTTATTATTTAAATTAATCTCGAATTATATTATAATAATAATAAAATAAACATTTTACAAAAAATAACGAAAAACAACAATTTAATACACATCATTTATCCCCAGTCGATCTGGTTCCGATCGTATCCTTTTGGAATATCGATCTTGATTTGTTTCTTCCTCCCTCTCCTTTGAATTCATGTCATCGTTATTTTTTTTATTACATCCTCTTTGTTTACTATCTCTTCGGTTTTCTCCTCTACTTCAGTACTCTTTTCTAATTCGTATTCTTCAATTAATACATTTTAGGTTCTTTTCCTTAATTGGTCCGTATGACATATAATCGTATTACCCGTTATACTTACTTCATAACGTTGCGATCCGAGTATGCCTTTAATAATGGCTTCTTCCCATTTTTTTCTTTATTATTGTAAAGGTGCGACCAAACTTTTACATTTATCTGGAATTTTTGATTGTGGTCTCCTTTTTGTTTCCCCGTTCGAAAATATGATCTAACAATCCTCTACGTTTAAATTTTAGTAGTTCAGCGAGACTTTGTTCAGTTTCTGTCCCTGGTGTATTTCTGTAATTGTAGAGAAAAATAGCTAGGCTGGTTTCTAAATCCCTCTCGTTTCTTTTATTCATACTCTGTTTAAAAGTTCGAACTAAACATTCGGTCATGCCGTTTGTCTGAGGATGGTAAGGTCATCCGTACACTAATTGAATCCCGTTTTTTTTCACATAAATCATTGAAATCTTTGCTGCTGAATTGGGGTCCATTATCAGAAACGATTATCTTGGGAAATCCTAATCTTGCAAACATATTTCTTAATATTTTTGTCGTGCTTTCGGTTGTAGTGCTAGTCATGGGAACTATTTCTGGCCAGCGACTGCTAACATCTATCACTACCAACCAATAATGATTTTGAAATGGTCCAGCATAATCAATATGTACTCAGAGCCATGCTCTTGGTGGTTTTGGCCAATTTTGAATTGCTGTCTTTTGAGGCATATCGTGTTGTTCCTGGCATTCTCTACATTTTTCGACCCATATCTTGGTTTATATTAGACTACCACGCGTATTGTCGTGCTCTCACATTCATTTTTACCATTCCGATATGTCCTTGAGTATCATGTCCAACACGCTGTTTCGGTATTGTTGTGATATTATCATTTTAGTTCTCCATAATAAACAACCTCTCTCTGTTGTAATTTCCTCTCTCCTTTGGCTATACTCCTTTAAACATGCATCATAGTTTATTGGCCTCCATCTATTGTATATCTGTATACTTTAGAAAGTATATCATCTCGCATTGTTTCTCTTTCAATTTAATAAAATTCACTATTTCTTTCATTCGAGCAATGTGCCCAATTTTGTTGCATTTATAACAAGTGGCATACTTGAAAAGAAAATTTTCCCTTCTGTGGTTTCCGCCGCAGAAGTGGCATGGATTTGGTTTTTTGTAGCTCGAATTATAATTATTGTATGATTTTGATTGTTTATCATTATCATTATCATTATTAACTTTTTTAATTTTATTTATATTATCATTATGTTCCTCTTCTAAATAATCGATTTTAGTTTCATCATTTTGTATTAATTTTGTATTTTTTATAGCTGTTTCTACTGCAGTAGCTATCTGAATAGCTTTATTTATGTCTTTATCGTCTTCGGATAGTAATCTTTGTAAAATTTTTGGATTTTTTATTCCGAATATAAATTTATCTCTTAATGCAGTATTTAAATATTCCCCAAAATTGTCTATTAGTTTTGTTGATTATATTGATAAAAATTATATCTCTCTACTATTATATTAGGTTTGGGATGAAAATGTTTGATTAAAATATTATGTATTTCTAATACCTCTTTGTAATTTACCAGTATTTTGTAAGTATCACACCCTATTGTTGTTAATAACAGAGATTTTTCTTGTGATGATGTTAAACTTGGTTGTGTTTTTAAATTCTTGAAATAAGTTGTACCAATCTTTGTAACACAGGTTTGAATCCGTTAGACTTTTTATAGACTGCGCCATTTGTAATGTATTTTTTTTAATTCTTTTATTTTCAAATTCATCATATATTATTTAAATTAATCTCGAATTATATAATAATTATAAAATAAACATTTTACAAAAAATAACAAAAAACAACAATTTAATACACATCAATATGCACCGTATTTATAATTATTATCAGGTCCGTGCAAACGGGAGAATGGGCGGGGGAGCCCCAAAATTTTGATTCTCGAGTATTGGTTTTCTATTAACTAGGGCCTACGTAAATTGGGTGTTTTTAATTAGGGTAGCTGAATTTATTTCCCTTTCAGATCGTCAAATCTAACACCTTCTTTGGGACTAGGAGAAAACTTTAAAAAATTCGGGCCGGTATCGAGCTTGGCCTAGTGTTGTTAAACGGCTGGAACAAAGGTCTATACATATATTATCGAAATCTATAGGCTTAGGCAATATTTTTCTAGATAAAATATTGAATTAACCATTTTTAAAAATCGGCTCAAAACGAGCCGTTTAACAACACTACGTTTATCCCGCAATTATAACAGATTACATTTAAATTTGGGTATTTCGGTTTTATATGATTTTCTAGCACACAAGAGAATATCTTTTTGTATTGATTTATGGTTATATTTTACCATGACACTATTTTAGTGATTTTAATAACTTCTAATCCCTGTTGATAATTTTGATCGTGGCTATCATTTCAGTTATCTCTATAGCTGTAGCGATTTGGGCGGCTTAGCTTCATTGGAATTTTTTCAATACTTATCCTTGATAAGAAAATATAAGCAGTAGATTTTTTAAAAAGAAAGCTGCGTAGCAGGTTTAATCGTTAAAAATTGGGATCGATAACATTTATAGTTAAAGTAAGATTAGACGCCAATTCGACTAACCAGAGTATAAACAACCGGGAGAGAAAGTAAAAAGAAACAATGAATACCATAATGGACTCCAATTAAATTATTTTTGTCCAAACCACGATAATAGAAGTCACATCAGAAATCACTTCTCCAAAATTTGCCGGTATTAGAAACCGATATTTTTCCTAGTTTCTCAATACCCCTTTTAGATCGAGAGAATAAAAATCAGGAATCCAAACAGAACCTAACTGTCAAACAGGTATTAACCGTTTAATTTCCCAATCCTAAACCGAATTTGAATCGTTAACAGTTTACCTGATCAAAATTTTGAAAATTAATTGTTGTTAAAGATAAATAAATAAATTATTACAAAAAGAATTCATCTTAAAATAGAAACTTTATTTTTATTATCTATAGGAAACTATAATAAATAAAAATAAGATTTATTTATACATGTTATTTAGTGTTTTTACTCGTTACTTTTTTGAGGTAATGTTTACAGGACTATTTATTATTCATTTTAAAAAATGCATATATACCAGAATTATATTGTGAATATTCATTATTAAATCCTTTAATAAAGATTAAAATAAAGAAAACACTAATAGTTTACAAACCAACCAATCAAATAACTTTTGACCATCAAGCAAGCCGATGGTACTACATCTTAAAACAAATGGGCGGGCGAGAGAATACCAAAACTATGAGCAAGGTGGCTGCTTTAAAATTTTAATACAATTGCGGGCGAGCTAAAAACTTGCTTATTGCAGACCTCTATCGAACATAGACTTAGACTTTAAATTAATATAGAAAAAGAAAACAAGGATGTAATCCATCATCGTATTTAACCTGTATTTCAATTGGGACAACGTATTGTGGGGACTTAGGAGCCGTCCGCCAAGCGTAAGAGGGAATCTCAACTCCATAGAAGCCAGTTTCGTTACGATCCATTTGTAGTGATTGAAGACCCATTTACGGGGAAATGGCTGCAAAAGCTTGACATCAACTCCGGGAATTTCCACAAAAATTCTAATTATTTAGCAATATATAAAGATACAACAAGATCAACGCGACTTTGCTTATTACAATTCGCTTAAAACTGGTATAAACAAAATGCGATATGTATAGAGCTATATAGGGGCGGGGTAGAAAATCTTTAAACCTTAAATCATTAATAGAGCGCGTTTTTTAATTTTGAAAAATCTGCCTTAGCCAGGTATTCCTGCACATGTATAACCTACCACCCGTAAATATCAAGCAATTTCGTCATCCACTCTTAAAATTTCCCTTGAATACAATTCAGGCAAATTCAAGGTTCTTTTTAAAAAACGCAATCTAAAAATGTTATAAGTTTTTAAAAATTTTTAAGAACGAGGCTCTATCAACGATAAATTAATTAAAAGATGAATAATTGATTAGAATGTCGAAATGATTGAAAGTATGAACACCCTTTACTTTTTAGATTGAACCATTTTAAATATGTTTATTTATTTCCCCAAAATTAACAACACTAAATACCCAGTAGACCGATTTTAAAAAATTTAAACAAATCGAATAATTTATTAGAATAGTAAATTATTCAATTAGATTAAAAAATCTAATACAAATAATTTATTATCCGATTCATATTTAAATGGATTCAATGCCCAGTGGCAACCCCCCTACCGTAGAAGGGAGAAAGACTTTTTAAAATATTGGGTACTCAAATGATTGGAAGGGGGGGGGCATAATTTTTGTTTGCGTTTCGGCTAGTACCCACAACCATCAAATTTTAGCGAAGATTATTTTTATGCGTTAAGTTTGTTTTCGAATATTATATATTTTAAACTGTATCATTTTGTAATTGGACCAGAGAATTCTAGCGTTAATGAAATTGAGCATCGATAGTCATCAATCATTATTTTTTTAAAAAATAAAAAATTGTAAAGGGCAGTTTTAAGTATATTATATATAATACACGCACATTCCTTTAAAATATGGAAACTATTCGAAATAGTAAGCGGAAGGATAAAAATTTTAACGCGCAAACGGTCAAAATATCTAAATAATTTCGAGAACTATCTATAATATATATAAAAGCCGTGTCACAGTCACAGAGTCACAATTTATAATATATATTTAAAAATTCACGATTTTCTAAAATCTGTGGCCCGTCGGCAAAAACGTCGCTTACAAATGTGAGGGTCATGGGTTCGAATCCCAGTAAGGATGTTTTTTCTTAATCTGGCAAAATTAATTAAATAGAAGATAAAATAATTAAGTGTGACATATTCACATACGATTCAAACTTTATTGCTACTTTAAAATTCAAACTATTAAATAGGTATTCTTATATTTTTAAATTTTTCACAACGTCTAATAGCCAATAGTATTCTTATAGCATCATACCATATCAAACACTCATTCATCAAAGCATCCATTAAAATAATATCTAACATTACCATCTTATACATCATAAACATATATCTAATCTATCTATAATAATATATATAAAAGCCGTGTTACAGTCACAGTGTCACAATTTATAAAAAATATTTTAAAAATCGTCAATTTTGAAAAGCGTCTGTGGCCTAATCGGCAAGAGCGTCGGTTAAGAATCTGATGGCTTTGGATTCGAATCACCGCAATGCATTTATTTTTCTTAATCCAACTTTGTATACTTTTTTTTAATTATATAAATTTCCTTATTTTTTTTAATTTTTATTATTTATGTACCCAATAAAAAATTTAATTTTGCTAGATGAGGGTTTTGTATATTGTTATCATGGAAACAGATTTCGGATTTGGACTTATTAAGAATGAGTCTTTTAAAATTGGCTTCAAGAAATTGAAAACAATTATTTTAGAAAGAACATCACAGATTGTTCCATCATCGAGATACCAAATATTTATATCCAAATCACATTTAGATTTTAGATAATGGATGGGACGTTTCTCTGTTGGATCCGTCAGAATCTATGACATGGGGCTGAAGTTTTAATGTTACAGTATGTTTCTAGGAATTTTGAATATACAGGAAATTTGGGATAAAAAAATTTGTTATTGAAAGCAATTTTAAAGTCTACTTTATAATAGTCATGTCAGGAGGAGGTTTTGGATATAAAACAAATGGCATTAAAAGCTATTTTGCTTTATCCCTTAACACCAAATCCTAATTGATAAGTATACTTAATTAAGACCTGACCATAGGTATTGACCCGTGGCTATTATTTTTGCTAATAATTCTAAATAGCCCATTGCAATGGGGTGGTTACCACCACAGTGTTTGTGAGATAATCAGGTTTGACCCCATAATTGATTTAAATCTATGATGGCAGGTCTTTTTTAAAAAAGTATTTAGAAAGATTTTAAAAGCATTTAAATGACTCTTTCAGGTGAGTGTAGATTTTATACGATGTGAGAGGGCAAAAACCATTGCGTCTCGATGTGAAAAATTTGATAAAAGATTTAATAAATATCATAACTCACAATTCATATTTTTTTATTCCATATTTTCCATAATATATTTGGCCTTTTCTCTAAAAATTTAGAGAAATCTTGGAAGAATGAATACGGATAATCTATTCCTCTCATTTGAATTCTGATTCATCCATCGTCAAATGAAAGTAAAATTTATTATTTATCCATAAGGAGAAAATTCTGATTCCCCGTCATTCTAGACGGGCTATCAGCTAATATTTTGTATGTTTATTTTTTTGGCTAGCAATCAACATTATGCGTTAGAAAGCTCTGGTATACCTAAGTCTGAGAAAACGTGAGCAGTGCAAAAAAAACAATCTATTTGTAATAGCTCACCCCCCACAACAGTATACGAATTAATTATGTAGAATCAAACAAAATTTAAAATTTGTTTTGGCATAATCATAATAGTCTCGTATATTATCAGAGATGCATCGATACAAATATTAACGACATTTGTCAATTAAAGTTTCGACAGATAGTGTCAAATTAAATTGGTACCAAAAAAATAATTTTAGTAATCATAAAATTTAAATTTAGGTTTATAAATTTTTATTCCGATTAAAAGGAAAGACGTCGTTAACCTACCCCACCCCCACTAAACTACACGTTTATAAACGAGTTTTAATAATTAAAAAAAAGAATGAAGTAAACGTCGTCGAAATGTACTATAACTCACCTATAAATATCTTCCCGGTCCAAGAAAAAGTTCCGATCGGTATGGGTGTCTTTGTTTGAATCCTTGAACGAACCAGGTATCGGTATTTTAGCGTCATCTTTGGTGACCCAAAATAATTGAGCGTCCGTAAAATTCTGAGCCTTCGGCATAAACTTAAGATCGTAGCGATGTTCCCTCAGATCGAATCGGTACTCGTCGACGGAATCAAACGTTATAGAATGAATGGAGGGTTTAAGCTGGGAGGAGCAGGAATTAGGCGCGTCATTGGATTGCGACTTTAGGTTTTAACATTGTTTTATTTTTTTAAATGGGTTTACAATATAAAATATTTAAAAAATTGGAAACTCGGAACTAGAACTATTCCGATCCTATATTTTTCAATATTCGTCTAACTAAAGCCGGTTATCGGGTCAAATTTAGGTGAACATTGGAATATATGGGATTGGTAAAAATTTCTAATTGACAAATTGTAGATCGGCTAAACCCAATTCAAAAAAGGAAGATTTCATATAAAATAAAGATACTTTCTTTTGCCTGGTAAATTTATTTATTTAAAAACTTGTAAAAATATAGGATAAATTTTAATTTTCCTTGATCTGTTACTCATTGACATACAATAAATTTTGAAGTCTCTTTTGGCCTGCGATTAGGGTACAAAATAAAGCTGCTGTGGTAAGCTGATAGTTCCGGTAGCCATTTAAGATAGCGTGAAAACAGTTATGCCACAGTATATCTCATGAGCAAGTGAATCCAATATATATACTTCTGCCCGGATCCCCAATAACTTAGCGACCCCCCCCCTTAACTATATCTCATCGAGTGAAAGGCCCGATGACGACCCTTACCGGTTGGAAAAGGGGCAAAATTCTAACATATGATTCCACTGCAAATATTCATCTATTTAATTATTCATGATATTTAGATCTCACTAATTATCGAATACGTTTTATATTATTATTGTCATTTTGTAAAATAAAAAATTTTAAATTGACATTAATATCAATAAAAAGGGTGTCGTGATTTTATTTACTTGCTAGCTATTCGTAGATAAATTTTTTACAAGACATTTTTGATGGGTCTTATTTGAAAATATTGCAAAAAACAAAAAGTGTCATTTTATAATTATGGTTAAAAAATTTTTTTTTGAATCAAAAATCAAAAAAAATAAATATGTATATTCCGTTAATTGATATTGGAGATTCATTTCTCCAGACCATGGTAATGCCGAAAGTTACGTTATATCGACAAATTGCAACAGTTACAATTGTAATTGTGGAATTTTCTTAAAACAAGTTTCAATATCTAAAAAATTTACCCATCTCTGATAACATGAATAAATATAAATTAGTGCTGTAAAGTAACGTCAAAAAAGTAACTTCGTTGCTAACGTCGTTACCTTTTTTGAAGAAAAAGTACGCCACTCGTTACATTCTTCTAGAGGTAACTAGTAACGGTAACGCGTTTCTTTTTTTTGAATAAACGTTACTCGTTACTTTAAATTTTTTCTTAAAAAAAATAAATACATTTTTTTGTACAATAAAATTACTTTTATTTAGTTTTTAATATAAATAATATAAGCCCAGGTTTTTAATTCATATCAACCACCATTAATTCATTTTTATTTTAAATACTCGTTGTTAATTTTTCAGCCGAATGTTAATCTAATTAATATTCAATCAAAATTCAAAGTAAATGTTAATAATTATTATTATTCTATTTTATAATTTATTTTAAGAATATTATGTCCATAGTTCTTCAGATGAAGTTGATTTAACCTTTCCCTAAACCCAATTTGAAATATATTTTACATCAATAATGAAAATTAAGGATACAAAGTCTACACTTTGTAAATATAAATTATGCCCCAACACAAATATTTCAATCTCAATTTCCAGCAGTTCTAACTTAAAAAGGCATATGAAGGTAAAAAGATCAATTAATATGTTATTATTTTATACATTACTTTAATAATAGAATATTAAATCATGGGTATTATAAAATAACCATTAAAAGAAGTATTCTTTCCTAATATTTTGAAATGCTTAAACATGAAATTAAAATATAAGCAATTAAATTATATTATAGCATAGGACTGGGAACCAACATTAAGAACCCAAGATTAACAAAATATTGTATTGGTTCAAATGGATTTAAACAATATCTTCTATTTCTTCTTTTAGTATTGCTATTGGATTACTTCAAATTGTAAATAAATTTAAAAAGAATAAAATAGTGATTTTGAAAAACATTGTTTAAATGAATATATATGGAATAAAACTATGTAGCAATATTGTTTTAGAGAACTGAACCTAGATATTTTTCCTGATTCCTTTTTAAATGACAATTCTGAAAAGATAAGAAATTGAAAAATTATCTTTGGCAATCATAATTTCAATTTTTAATGTTTTCCATGACTATAAGCTTAATGATAGATTAAAAATGCAATTAAATTTTTAAAAGATTTATTTTCAATTAATGAAAAGGCTAAGTTATTTTTAATAAAAAATTCAGGAATTAATTAAAAAATTATAGACTGTACATTCCTCAAAAATGAAAGAGATTAATGAACATTTGAATAGTAATAAAAAAATCGAAGACAATCAACTCACACTCATTGAGATTCAGAATCCATCTACATCAAGGATAGAAATAGCACAATCAGCTGTTGATGAATTAGTTTTTAATTTTATAATTGAAGAATTACAAGTATTTCCAATTGTAGGCTGCATTTATTAATATTATCAAAAAATTGCAGCTAACTAAAAATGTGATGTCTAGGCCTACCCTCGTATTAAAAATTAACAAAGTATGTGACACCATGGAAAAGAAATTAGTGGATTTATTGTGTATCTCAAAAATGCCTATACAACTGTGGATTCTTGATCAGTTTATCATTGTTATATTATATATATATTATAGATTGATCATATTGTCTTTTAAAAAAGTTCTTGGGATGACCGTATACTGGCTACACCAAGAAACTCAGAGTTTCAGCCTGCTTAGCTTGTTAAAGGCTAAACCAAAAACACAGATTTGATTATCTAGCAAAAATAATCTTTGAAATTTTTATCACATATAAGATACAAAATAAAGTGACCAAATGCATTACCGACAATGCTAAAAATTATATAAAAGCTTTCAAGTAAAAAAATTATAATATATTAATAAAAATTTATTAGAGTATGTGAAAAAGGAGAGGAATCGGATTATGAAATAGTTCTTCTGCCATTATTTGATCTATTTGGAAATCAAAATACTTGATAGTATCATAATAAACTTACCTAAGCATCATTCCTGTTCAGCACACATTTTAAATCTCATTGCAAGTGTTGACATTAAAAAGGCAGGTAACGATGTCCATTTTAAAATTATTTCTTAAATTACATTTTCTAAGTGTAAGCTATTGTAGAATAAAGGGCAATCTTCAAACTGTGCAGCCATTTTTAAGGAAAACATGAGAAGATATCTGATTAAACATTGAAATTAATAGCCTTATTAAGGAGAATTGCCAAAAATTTGACAAATCTTGTGATAAATCTTAATTACAGAAATTTTCAGGTAACGACAAGTCGTTAATTGATGAATATTGTATTGCTGTTAATTAAGAAATATGATATGTATATGATTTTGTAGGTTATGTAACCGATTGCTGCGGGTTTTTCAATTTTAGAGAGCGAAGAAAAATGCATTTAGGATATCTCACTCCCACGATAACTATTATAATATTAAAACTTTGAAAAATGGATTTAAATAATTTCAAGTTTTAGCCGCTTATTAATTCAATCTTGGAAGGCGTAGATAAAAGGTATACAGTTCAAATATTGCTTACAATTTATATTTTGATATAGATTCAAACACATCTATATAGTTGAATATATACTATACGCAATAATTCACCCTCTTTTAAATTGAATTGGCCCTGGATCAAATAAGAGGTCAACAAGGAAGAATTCTAACTTATTTCCAGTTTGAGAAAAGATTTTGATAAAGAAAGAGAAGACTTAATTCCTTTATCCAACACACATAATATTTTCTGCTAAAGATAAATTTTTTTGATGAGGAAATAAATGAAGATCCTTGTGAAGATGATATATTATGAAATTTTCAAAATAAAAATAATTATTTAAATATTTTTAATAAACTCCCCGAATAAAAATTTATGTTTATTAAATATAATACAACTCTCCCATCCTCTTCGCCAATTTTATTTATATTATAATTATATATATGAAAATTTTTAAGATTTTATCGGATATATTCTTTTTGTATAGTTTTATTTATATTATAATTGTAGGAAAAAAATAAATATTTTTTTTGTATATAATATTTAATTTTTTAAGTAACGAGTAACCCGTTACTTTTTTGAATAGTCAGTAACGCGCGTTCCTTTTTTAAAAAGGTAATGAGTAACGGTAACCAGTGGCCCCTACGCTTTCTGAGCGACGGAAGCAGAATACACCCCTGAAAAGTGCCCCCCCCTTCGAAAAAATGGTTAATTATTTTTTGACACCCATAAATTTCAAAAATAAGTTTTATTGCATCAATCTTTAATATATAATATAAATAAAATGTAAAAAAATATATACTTTAAAAATATTATTTTTAAATTAATAATTTAGAAAAATTAGGGGAAGAAAAAACGAAAGAATTTATAATTTCATAAATATTTAATTGTTTAAATTTTTTCCCATTGATAATATGGTTTTATTGAGAAATAAATCTTTCATGGTACTACTAAGTCTTGCTTTAATTAATTTAATTTTACTCATGACCCTTTCGGCAGTATCTGAAGTAGCAGGAATTTATCATCTCTTATATTATAGGGTATTAAAAGAATCGGTGAAGACGATCTTAATCAAGATTTTATAATTATTAATTAAGCGTTTCTATTTTTTTGGTTAATATTTTTGGGCATATTTTGAAATTGGAAAAATAATTTTATGACAAGAAATCTCGGATAAGAACCTAATTTGGTAAACATCGACCAAATTTTATTAAAATCTAATAAAACCCCTTACATTATTTAATTTAATATCTATTAACGGAATCATGTCGAGTCCAATATCATAACCCAGAAATAACTTGGTTATGTATGGGTGTAGTAAAACAATAAAAGAATTAAATTTTTAAAAAATATATCCCCACTCAAATTTTTAGAAGCAGTTGCTTCGGACCCCCCCCCTCCCGTTGTAGAGGCCACTGTTGGTAACGCGTTTCTTTTTTGTAGTAACGTTTACAGCACTAATATAAATGTGACAAGATAATAAAATATTTTTTGACCTTAGGGAAATGAAATATAGAAAAAATATTTTCAATAAAAGATAATTTTTGTAACTTAATAAATTAATATCTATTAGATGGCGCAATATTTTTTTTAAAAAATTTTTATGGTCAGTGACCTAAATAGGAGCCGTTAAGAAAAAATCAGCTAATAGTTATAGCTTAGCTAGCTAACTACAATTATAAGTACATTTTTTTTCTATAATTTTAGAGCTGTAATTAGAAGGAATGGATTTTTTTTTATATAAAAAGGAGCTTTATAACTATTTTTATCATCGTTTTGGGTCTTCATATATTTTTTATTTGAAAAAGGCAAGAGTTATATGCCAATTCAATCGATATAACAAATACACTTCAAAAAATGGTATTTAAATATGAATAAAAAATACGTTTTTTAACAAACATGTATTTTAAATATGAATACTAAATACCTTCAAAAAATTCCCGAAAAAAGTATTTAAATACAAATACTTTTTGGAATATATTTTTATTATACCAATAATTTTTTTTTTAATTTATATATTAACCAAATAAATTTGTAATTATCGTACCGGAAATATTTCAGTTATTTAATTTTAAAAATTATATAAAATATTATTATAGCTTATTATATTTTTCCAAATTTTATTGTGCGGCGTATTTATATTATTGATTTTGGGAAGATATTTTGAAGAACTTTCCATATTATATGATCGGAAATCTATATCTTCCAGTTTTATATCATTTTCTTCAAAAATATTTTCATTCATTTAGTTTCATTTTCAATATGAAAGTCGCTCGTTTTGACAATAGGATGAATAGTGTTGTTAAACGGTTTGTTTTGAGCCGATTCTTAAAAACGGCGAACTCAATACTTTAACCAGAAAAATATCGCCTAAACCTCAAAATTTCATTAATATATCGCTAGACCTTTGTGCCTTCTAAGCAAAATCTTCAGGCTTACTTAATATTTTTCTGGATAAAATATTGAGTTAGTCGTTTTTAAAAATCGGCTCAAAACGAGCCGTTTAACAACACTAAGGATGAAGCAAATAGTATATTGATTTTTTTCTTTAGCTCGGATCACAAGATCAAGATTTAAATAAATAAATTGTAGTCAATTTAAAATATATATTGAAGAAAATAAATTGAAAGTATTTGTATTTATTTTAAATTGCAATAAATTCAAAATACTTTTTATTTTTTAAATTATTAAATAAATACTATAAATATTCGCTATACTTCTAAACCATGGTAAGTATGGGGTTGGATCAAGAAAATAGGATTAATTTTATGACTAAATTGAGATTTTTATAAATTTATGATATATGGATAGGCAAAAATCCTTTTATTCAACTGGTCGGATCAAAAAAATGGTCCCTTATAGGTTTCTAGCTTAGCTAAATACAGTTATAGCTGTAACTATAAGAAAAATTTACAAAATAGCTTATTAGCTATCAGCTAAAATGTTTTAACCATATTATTTATAGTTATGTTTAATTTTAAAAAATATACTAGAGCTAGGCATGGCCTGAAAATTTTTTTTTTAAATCATGGTCGGGTAGGGCTATATATTTTAAAAATAAATATTTGAAATCACCATTATTAGCTATAAAAATCAAAAATAAATATAAAATATTTAGAAAAAATCCAGGCCGGGTCGTGCAAATTGTACCTCTGCAGGTCTCTGGTTATAGCTAAAAGAAAATTTTTTAAATAGCCTACAGTTAACTACAGTTATAGCTACACTTTATTGCGATTATAATTAGCAAAAAAATCAAGTAAGGTGTAGCTAATTACAATTATAGCTAGGACCGTACCGATATTATTTATCAGATCGGATAAGGGTCGATATTTAGCCTTTTTTTAAATTGGATCAGGCTTACATTTTTGATTATATTAAACATAATTTATTAATAATAATAAATTAATAAAAGAAACCAAAATTATTTGTTATGTTTAAAAAATATTTAATCAATTTTTAAATAAGCCAACACAATATTTTAGCCAAAAATACCTTATCCAAGCTTGGAGATTTTGTCCACAAATTACAGAAAGGTTTAGACATCTATTGGCGAAATTTTGAAACGTAGGTAACAATAGTTATCGCTAAGTTTTATCGTGGTTATGGTAACGATAACTACAATAAAAATTAACAACTATTTGTTTTGTTAGTTAAAAATTTTCTAGGAATAGAATATGGGTTCGTATCCATAGGGGGTATCCAGTAATAATGGCATGGCGCGATACTGATTGAAGTAAAGGCTAATGAGAAATATAACCAATATGAACCAAATTAATAAATTGTTTAAAAATAATAAGGACAAGAAATTTGGGATGAGGACTGGCGTGGACGTAACCTCTTCAAAGATATGAGATTTTTAGGAGGCGTCCATTTGTTGAAATTAAAGGCAAAAGCATTTTTTCAAAAAAATAGGAATCAAGATCACAGCAGGAAATATAGTAATCGTAGAAAAGTCACAGAATCAAGAAATGTAAAACTGTTACAGGAATTTCCAGCATCATAATATGAAACTTCGCTAACATGCCTAAGCCATTGTAATCAACTATTAAATGGCATCAAAGTGGGCATGAACAGAGAAATGTCAGAAGCATTCGAAAGAATTAAACAATTGATAAGCAGGGTTCGATTATTTCACCATTCTGATCGAAGAATACCCATTCTATTCACCATCAAATTGATAAGAGAATCGGAGTCCTTATATTAATATTATATATAAAGTAAGGAGAAAAGAAAGACCAATGCTTTAGCGTCAAGGACTCCAATAATTAATAGTACCTAAATGTTGGCAAGACATGAGCATGAAATTGAAAATCAAAACCAATACTACAAGACAAATATCCAACTGAAATATATAGACTACCACTACAAAAGCTTAATAATAATAAAAATAGGAAGTCGGTACTCAATACAAGCTGGCAATGAGTAAAAAAAATAAATACCGTTAAAAGCCAATGGGATTTAAAAAAACATGTCAAAATTCTATACTAAACAAATATAAAACCTAGGAATGAATAGTGATATAGAAAATTGGGTAGAATGTGAGGAACAACATGATATGTAACCAAAAACAAGATCAGATTAGTACACAGTAGTTCACAACGTCTGCAAAAGGACGGAATGACCAAAATATTAGTCAAGAAAAAAAGATCCTTCAAGTATTCTAAAGTTTTTTAAAAGAGTGAAAAAGTTTGAAAGTATTTAATATAGATTACTTTTGGATTGATTGAGGGCCAGCACCCTTAGAGATATTAGACCAACTTTTTAAAAAGAAGTGTATAATAGGAGAAACGATAGCTGTGTATAATAGGAGAAACGATAGCTGTGTATAATAGGAGAAACGATAGCTGTGTAAACATTAAACAAGAACCCAAGATAGGTGAAAAAGATTGTCGTGAGCATAAAATAATCAAGCTGAATAGATAAAAATATGAAAAGATAAGAAGAGTATAAAATTTCCACCTCCGCCTCTAGGTTCCAATCTTCTCAGTATGACCATTTTTGGCATGTGTCCTTAAATTGAGCAGAATAGTACTATTACGCAAATGCTAGTAAGGAACAACGGCAAAGACAATAATACGGCACACGCCAAATCAACAAAAAAGAGATAGGAAAATAAGACATAAATAACTGAAGATGCATGGATAAAAAATATAGGAAAAAACCAACACCAATATAACGGCCAATAGTAGCCCAGTGTGACACTAAATATAAAAAAACTGACGGATGTTGGGCCATGAGAAAAGTGTGAGGAGCAAAAAACTCAGGTGCAGGAGATGAATTGGTCGGAGATAACTGGTATTAAGCCATCCTCGAATACGAGCATAAAACTTAAAAATATAATATATTATTGTTGTGGTAGAAAGCGAACAAATTTTGGCCAAAAATTATTTAAAATTTTCCAAGAACCAGCTCCGTAACCGAACATAATGAAGGTGTAAGTAATTTAAATATTGTTTAAAAATGTTGCGCGATCAATTTTAGAGTTTATTTACTGGGTTTAAATTTTGTCTTGATTGCTTAAGAGCTTGGAACCGGAAAATAGAACTCTCGGAACGGGTAAAATTCAAGAACGGGAAATCAACAAATTAAAATTTTAGGAACCAGAACCGGAAGAAAAAAAATCAAAAAAGAAATCAATAAAAATATATTATTTATTATTATTCAAAAAATTAAAACAAATTGATTCCAAAAAAACCTTTTTTCTGTCGATTCGCATATGCCTTTTGGCTTGATGCTTTTCTAGCTTTTCCAACCTCCGAAGACATATTCGTTTGCGATCGGGGCCGTTTTTGATAGCAAACAAATAACCGCAGGCGTGTTGATTGAGGGTGGATTCGGATTTAGCCGGTCTATTATTAAGCGCCAGTTTGACGGGTTGTTCGGTGAGATTCTTCTCTTTGTTCTGGGGGAAGGGAACTATCGCCTTAAATTCGATAGGGGTATCCTTATGATATATAGCATCGTGACTTCCTTCATCAACGAGGTCGTCATCGAATGGCATAAATTCGTCTTTAATGAAAAAGGGTAGAATCGGAGGTACAAATGGCGTGGCTATTGCACATATATTCTGGAGTTCCCTTTTAAAGTTTTGGTCCGAAGTGGTCATATCTTAAATAATAAATCAAAATAAAATGCTTTGTTGAACAATATCGCTTAATATTAAAAAAGAAAATGTTGTGAAATGAAAATTTAAGTAAAAAATATAACTAACTTATTTTGATGATAAAATTGCATAATATATTGAGCACTCAATTTTATAAAAATCTAATTTTACCTATCGTAACATTTTTTATATCCTGATTCGATAATATAAATAAAATCACTAATGGATTATTCCAAGAGAGAAAGAAATTATGTCATTCACTCATAGCAAACCCTGGGTATTTTCGGATGTGGCAAGTATCGCAATACGAGCTCGCGCCAGTGACTCTGCATCTATTCTGACTTCGGAACCTGACGCTGTTTGAAAACCTGTGGGAATCGTTCCGTTCAATTTGATGATGGAGGCGTTGTGAGTGACAGGTAAAGGAGAAGTTCGTACTTCGAAATCGGCTACATCTAAGTCGGCAAATTCATTTTCATTCGTTTTAGGTTTAGGGGAATCTGATTGGGGGAGCAGGGGCATTGAGTTAATTTCCGATTTAATACTGTTCATTTTTGGGGAGGGTTGATCGAGATGATAAAAAGCTGAAGATCGGTTTGTCTTATCGCAGTCGTCGTTAAGGCTCGAGGTGGCGTGGAGCAAAGAAGCTTCTCGGACTAGCACTTCAGAACCACGGGCTGTTTTAAATCCGGTGAATATTTTAGGGGGATGTGCTGTTTCGATATTCATCAATTTTGGGCTAGCCATATTGGTAAATGTAAGTTTGCGTTTAACAGCACCACCTTTATTATTTGCAACGCCATCTTTATTATCTGTAACGCTATCGTATGATAAGTTATGTGTTGGTAAGTGGATATAATCTTTTGTCAGAAAAGCCTCATCTCGTAAATTGATTGGGCCATCAAAGGGTTTGCTGGTTATCATTACAGGTTGAAAGCTCCCCATATTACAGGATTTTTCAATACCATAGTTTAAATTATTGTGGATTACATTTGAAGGAGTAAAGTTGGTCTCTCGTAAATGTGATTTTGAGATAAAGTCTTTGGCATTATTGGTTGTAATGAGAGGGATCTTTTCGGCATGAATCATAGCTAGTGATGCTGTGCTCTGAGAGAAAACAGGAGATAACCCCAAAAGGGTGCCCATGGATTCAGGGTCAAAGGGTTGAAGGGATTTAATCACTGGTGCATTCACATTTTTATCCAGGACAAATGTAACAGCGTCGCTCCAAAATAAGTCATCACCACAGCTGAGGTCAAAGACTAGGCAATTGGCATTCCCAATTGACGTGTTGTGTGATAAAATGGATAACGAAAAGGATGGGGAATAAGTTTCCTGAAAGGATGAGAAATTTTTGGGAGGTGGAGGTTTAAATATTTCTGGTGCTTCTTTGGGCCCTGGAGCCAGGTTTATGGATTGAAAAGTAAGGGCAGTGAGTGAAAATACACCTGACGATGACTGTTCCTCTAGATTTTCATCATTGATATATCTCTCAAGATTTGAGTCAATAGTTTGAGGAAATGGTGTACTTGTTCTTTGCCTATCAATGTGTATAGGTTTTAAAAAACTTGACTTTGGTTTATGCTGTATTTTTGACAAAATATCACTATTTGTGTGAGTAGAAGTTACAAGGGTATTAGTCAAATGAATTTTTGGAAATGAAAAAATATTTTTGTTGAATGTTTTAAATATAATATACAAAAGATTACTAAATAATTTAGTAAGTTTACAAATAATTCCACTAAATGTTGTAGGGATTGGTATCCTGTTTTGCAATATGTCATGCAAATATGCAAAAAATGAACATAGATATTTAATATCTTTGATAATAAATTTTTTATAAATTTTTAGAGTTTTATACGTGTTCCTATTAAAAGAGTTATACATAAGTGGAATATAAGAATCGATGTTAAAACATTTAAATTGATTAAAGCGATAAGATAAATTTTCTACACTCCAATAATTTGTTATCTGATAAAACACAGCAATTTCAAAATCTATAAGATTTTTAAAAATAATTTTAAAGATATAAACTTATTTACCTTGATATTTTATTACTAATAAATCATGTTGCAATTGATAGATTATATTTTGAATAATGGAATTCATTTTGTTTTTAACAATGTACAAACAATAATATTTAAATATGATAAATAATTGATTAAATATATTATTTATTGGTTTATCACTATTATATATCATTTTGAGGAAAGTATTTTGATTGCCAAAAAATAATTCCAAATCATCTTCTATAAGAATATTAACAATATTACTTTTGTTATCATAATCCTGCTTTTTTAAACAATTTAAATAAGGTTTTATATTATAATGTATTTTTTTTTTCGTTTTATTCATAACAGAACAATTTTTGGCATTGAAAATATCCTTATGTATATTTGAAGCATATTTTTTTGGATTAGGAGTCATGGTATCAACTATTTGTGAGTAAAATTTATCCTTAAAAAATATAATATATAAAAATCCTAAATTAAATACAGTTGAAGATCTATGTCCATGAGATAGATCTACAAAAATTGATTAAAATTTGGTATATGATTTACTATAAATACCAATGTAGGGCAACGATTTTAATGAAGGAGTTTCTAAACATGAAGACCAATCTATAGTGTTATTGCTAAAACTCATAACACTAAAATAATAGAAGTTATTTATATTATAATTTTATATTACTGTTTGTCAAGTTTAGAAATAGGAGTTGATTGAAAATATCTGCTAAATTTATATACTCATAAATTTTTAAAATTACCTATAATTATTTAATGTATCATCATCTGAAAATATGCAAGATTCTTCTTCCATATCAAATTTTTAATTTTCGTCTGATTTACATTTCGATGTATAAATCATAAAAAACCTATTTAAATGACGAACGTTGGTTGACAGCTCGCAGAGTGAGTAAATTTAAAATCAGGTGATTTATTTCTTGTTAAATATAATATATCAGGCGCGTACGCAGCGGGGGGGGGGCAGGGGGACAAATCCCCCTCCCCAAGACAAAAAAGGCAGATGCCGGAGTCTATTTTTCAAAAATATTTTTGTTAATAATATTAATTTATATTTGTTAATATTTTTTTTCCTATCTCATATATATATTTAATTACATTTATTTATCACATTCATCTACTAAGTTATTTTATCAATTAATTTCAATTTCAAGTTTTCCTTGGTGTGCGTATTATTTATCTAAATTTCTAGTCAAATAATAATTATCTCTGAAACTCCTTGTCCCAGTGGCGTAGCTAGAGAGGGGCGCAGGGGCTCGAGCCCCCTGAAAAATTTGAATAGCCCCCTGAAACAAAAAAAATTTTTTAATGGCTCTTTAATATCCCCTTGAACTAAAAATAAATTTTTTTGATTGCCCACTGAATGATTTCTTTTATAATTCTATTGAGTACTATATAGATTTAATTTTATAATTTAAAAATTAATAAGTCTATCTAAATTATTCTTAAAATTCTATTTTAATTATTAGATTAGATTAATTCTTATAAATTATATTTTCCCTATGTCAGCTTGCAATCAAATTCTGTGTTAAAAATAGAATATTAATATCACTCACTAAATATTAATATACCATTAACAGTTGAAGCTTTATTGACTTTTATTATTTAAATTATTATATAACTCTAATTAAATAAATATTAATTGAAAGTTAACAAATTTAATATTGTAATAAGCACTAATCAACTATATTATTGATATTTAAATTTAATTATCATGACTATTCTTAAAATTATTTTCAAGGTCCAAAATAAGTATAAGAAATTTATTTATAAAAAGTAAGTAAACATATAGTTTATAATCCTCTATTAGATATAATTGGTTATAAAATATTAGGTTAAATACCACTTTTGCAGAAGTATTTGACAGTTATATAATATATTACAGATAATATTTTAATAAATTTTTCTAATAAATGCTTTTGATAATAAATATATGTAATAAATTGCTTTCAAATATTTAACGCCATCTATTTAATATGAAATATTTAAATATTATTATTTATCCCGGAATGGATGTAATAAATTAAATAACTTTTCTTCTCTTTTTTACGCGTTTTTAGGAAAGCTAATTTTTTCTTATTTGAAAAACAGTTTTGAATTAAATTTTTAATACTAGTATATTTTTGATATTATTACAAACTGCTACTATTTTAAGATATAATATATCAACTAGAGGTGGTACAATAATATATAAAATTTTAATCAATTTATTTTATCATATCATACAAAATGTTTTATTTCGAATATAGCATCCCTGCCTTGTAAATAACTTAAGGCTTCAATACATTTGCATAATTTCTTTTAAAGATTTTTAGTGTTTTTGTTTTATCAATTTATCTAGCATAATAAACTCTGATATAAGTCAATATAGTAAGTGTCATGGCTATGACTGCAAATTAAACAGCATCTATCATTTGTGTGGCTATGTAATTTAAGATTATTATTACAGCTTTGAGAGCATATGATTGCATATATAATCTAATGGTCAAATGTGTAGTTGTTTATATATCATTGAAAATGGAAGGGAAGATAATCTTTTAAAAATTTAATATCTCACAATTTTTTTCTCAATTACTTATCTAGCTTCCATCATGTCCAGGGTTGCCAGGTCAAAATTTTCAAATTGCGAAATTTGGTATTATGCGGGAGAAATATAAAAATTGCTTAAAAAAATTTTGCAGGCGCCTATTATTTTTTATTTAGTTTATATAAATACAAAGTCGGTAACTATTTTTCAAAATAGAATAACATAATTTATAAAAAAACATCAACGATCTTTTTTAAATATAAAAGAATGTAAACAAGATAAAATTTTATTAAAAAAACCATTTTAATTTTACAATTAAAAATATATTTTATGCGAATGTCCCGCAAAACGACCGCAATTGGAAATCTACAGTGTGTATGTATAACATTATAGGGATAGGCGCTTAATTATCATGTATCACGTTTAAATACATAATAAGTTACTCCAAAAATAAGAAATAATACAGATGAAACTACAGTTGCGGCAATAGCAATCACTTATCTTGTAGTACAACATTCACAGAGATACTTATCATCACAATGTTGGTAGAATCTTTTCCCCATAATATTTAACGACTCTAATATAAATGAAAACTATACTTGTAGAACAAAAATGAGCAAGACTATCATCAATGTTTTAGGACCTAAATCCAGGAGGTCTTTTGACGATTTGAAAAATGGGCATACATTTGCAATTCTAACAGATGCATCTAATAAGGGAAATATTAAAATATTTCTCTTGATCCTCCGCTATTTCATCAAAATTAAAGTCGTTTTAATAAAACTATTATTATTTTTTCCCTCAAATAGCGAAAAATCCAAAGACATAGCTAACCATATAATGGTAAATATAGCAGATTCGAGATTATCATAAATTGCATGTCAGCTTTCTGATCTGATAATGCCTCAGTGAATTTGATAAAAACAGAGTGTATTTACAGAATTGAGTCAGCACAATGTTGGTTTCGATATGTTATAATACCCGCCATCGGAATTTTAAAATTTTATTAACCTTTAAAAAAATATTTCTTAAATAAAGATTATATAAGCTGTCCTAATATTTTGAAAATTTTTTTCAATAATGAATGGCAGAGGTATATTTAGGAATGATTTCACATGTAGGAATCTACTATATGCTGTTAATGTGTAGTTGCAATCAGAAGAATCTTAACAAAGATTCATAAAATTATGCTGCAGATGTATTCATCTTTACAGTTAAAAATTGACAATAAATTTTATGGCGCCATTGCTAAAACTTAATTATATTTTATTTGAGATTTAAATAATAGAACTAAATGTTTACCGTCGTTATTTATATATTTATAAAATTCCTGGCATGACATATTATATATTCATTAGCTCGGCCTCTAATGTTGTTAAAGCAATCCTATTTCTCTTCTTTTTCCAGGCAGTCCTCATCAGGCTAAATATGCGCTCAAATGAGGCATTAGAATGAGGTAAGGAGAAGACATACTCGCATATTTTTTCCAAGCATGGGGATTTATCGTTATTACGAAAAAATTCTACCCATTTCTCCTCTGCTTTTAGACCATCTAACTTTAAGTATTTTGGCGAATCATAAAAAATAGAGAGAATTACAGTCTCATCAAACAAGATATCAATGTCTTTCGGTATTTTTAATATATTTATTAATTATAAAAACTATCAATTGATGGTTTCTGTTCCAAGGTCATAATATTTATACATTTGTAAATAGAGTTATTAAAATCAAATTTTGATTGTAAATATTCTAAAATTTTCTTAATAAAAATATCTGCTTCATTTAAAAATGTATTAATTAGAGTATTATTTGAACATTTTAATATAATATTTTTAGCAATAGCGCCATAAAACTTATTATCAATTTTTAACTGTAGAGATGAACAGAGCTGTAGCATGATCTTATAAAATTTTTTTTAATATTCTAATTGCAACTGAATATTAACTGCATGAACTAGATTTCCTACATTTGAAACATCCCAAATATTCCTCTGCCATTTCATACTCGAAAAAATTTTTCAAAATTTTAGGGCAGCTTTAAAATCTTTATTTAAAAAAAGTATTTTTTTAAGGGTTTGTAAATAAAATTCTATCGATGGCAGGTATTCATGACAGCCACCCAGAGTCTACATGAGCGGGAGGGATATGAACAGTTTGCATCCTATTTTTTTGAGGGGGTAGGGGGTAAGCTGCTTTAATGGGGGTAGGATAAATTTTTTTGTGGGGTTATCTATTAAATTTTGAGATGAAATAAGACAAAGTTTATTGCTGTAAAAATTAATACTTTTATTATAGTATTATTATAATACAATTCATCGACCAAATCTATATATTGCAAACAATCATACACATTGTTTTCCAAATAAACTATCCTTTTAAATATAATTTAAAAGGTTTAGATATTTCAGCAAGCTCATAATGCCATAATAATTAATTCATTGTAAATAATGGAGGTTT